CGTCTCCCCCCCCCCCCAAAAAAAAATGTCTTGAAAATGTGACAAGTTCAAACTCCTGAGTCCTGATCGATAATGCAACGCAATAATTCCATTTCCACATTAAAAAGTATGGTTATTAATTAAATAATGTGTAAAAGTTAATTATAATAATATTGATGGGACCTTTTCAATGCAGAAGATCTTCAAAAGTTTGATTTGGGCAAATATAGGTAAGTATATTCTTTTCTCGGTTCCATCCTTGCTGTCATTGCTTCACTTGACTTGTTAATATTCACTATCATATATTGATATTATTATTATTTTTTTAAATATATTAACATAATCTTAAACTGTTATTCTAATTCTTGAAAGTGTTTATGTTGGCCTTGAATTGAAATAAAGGGACTCACGTTTTAGAGAATCCACGAGTGCTGTCCGTTGAAACAGCCTTTGTTTTTCCCTTGACAGCTCATTTCTCGTTCTCTTATTCCAAATTCTGTCTCGTCATCATCATCATCTTCTCCTTCTTTATATAGCTCTCCTTCTTCTTCTTTATCCTCTGCCTCGACCAGAGAGAGAAACAGAAATGGATGCTCTCTTGGACAAGGCTTCCTCGGCCGTCAACCAGGCCAAAGACACCGTTGAAACGGCCAAGACCGAAGCCATCTCTACGGTCCAGGCCTCTGTCGAAACGGTCAAGTCCGAGGCCTTGTCTGCCCCTCAGAAGCTCTCAGATGCTGTTGTTCCACAGGTATGTATGGATGCATCTAAATCCTTTTATTATAGCATCCTGAATTCATCCTAACCTCTCAAACAGCATCCTTATCCCGACAACAACGAGCATAAACATGAATCAGAGAAGAAAAAAGGATAGGTTTCACCGCGATATTAAGATCTATATCCCGATTTCTGAAATGCCCTTTAGAGTTGAAGCTTCAAAGATGGAGATACAGAGAGGAATGCAATGAAATTTGGTAAAAAAAAATGGACAAAGTCTGATTAGAACATTAGAGCTTACGTTCGAGGAATGAGATGCTTGCAGGTTAAGGAGGCAGTGGACGGGGCGACGTCAAGAGGGATCGAAGGAGCCAAATCTCTGCTGCAAAGTCTCGAGGAGAAGAAGGGAGAGGTTTCTTCCCAACTTGTCGATACCATGAAGCATGCTGCCGCTGGAGTATCCAGTAGCGCTGACTCTGCAGTGTCTCGTGATCTTCCCATCTCCACCGATAATCAGGTACAGACCTGAATTCTCTAAGTACAGATCTTGAAACATTAGCAATAGACTTGTTAATGGATGAATTCACGTGCAAATGACAAGAAAGAATGGGTTTTTGTTAGCAGCCATTGTTAGAGTCAGGAGGTCAGAGGGCAGTGGAGTCGACGCCATGGTGGAAGAACTGTTGTGGAGTCCTTGATCTTCTCAAAACATCTGCTAGATGAATCATGTTTCCATCACAGAAGATTCATGACAATACAACTAAGAATCCCAGGTGAAGAACAAGAGAGAGAGAGAGAAATACAGAGTCCTAGCTCTGAAACTCTCTCTCTCTCTCCCAAGTTCAAGAACCTTGTTTCTGGTTACGTATTATACCTTCTGTTTCCGTGTGGTGTGTGATCTTGTTATTGCTGTCATGTGTGTTGTTGTCATTACATATTAGTCTTTGATTCCTCTGTGTTTTGATTCACTTCTCTTGTTTTTTTCAATCCATTGATTGTTACCAAGAACTTGTGTATCAAGAAATAAACAAAAAACAGTGAACTTGAAGTTACTTCTACAAGTTTCTCTTGACGAACAAGAATAAGTTATTGTAGGAAATAGTGGAAACACATGTTTCCGACAAGAAACCGACAAAAAGGCTACCTCAAATCAAACTCGCTTCGAATGCATACTGTATCCAACAACAACCGCCGTCACAGCCACTGCAACCGCCGCCGCCGCGGCCACAGCCCCACTGGAGCCAACAGCCACCGCCGGAGACCATGACTTCGTTCCGCTAACGTCGGCCACAGTCCCATTACTCGGCGTCTCCACCATATTCTTCAACCCACCAATCATATCCTCGGTTTCACTGAGCTGTTTCTGCAACTCCACCATCTTCATCTCCATTGCTGCAACCTTCTTCTCTGATTCTCTCAACATCTCCTCCACACCCATCTTCTCTGTTTTCCACTTCTGCAGCTCTGTTTTGCCCTCTGCAACATCAGATTCCAAACCCTCCACCATCTTTTTCAGCCCATCAATCTCCTTCTCCTTCAGATCAATCTTCTCCACCATCTCTTCCTCTGCTCGGAATTTCTTGTTCCTCTCCTCCAACTCCCTCACCTCCAAAGCCCCAAGCTTCGACTCCAGTTCCTTCATCCTCTTCTCGTTTTCTTCCTTCACAGTCCTTAAACCAGCAACCTCTTTCTCCAACTCCTCGATTCGAACCCCTTTTTGCGAAATCTCTGCCGCAAGCTTCTTCGCCTCCGCTGAGGCTTCATCCCCTTCGCTCGTAGCAGTGACCAGATCATGCTGCATCCTAGCAATCTCCGTCTCCAGCTCCGCAGCTCTCGCAGATATGGCCTCCAGAACCTTCCTCTCCTCATCCGCCTTGTCTATCTCCCGCTCCATCTCCCCCATCTTACGCCTCGACTTCGATTCGGCGACTCTCATTTCTTCGACCTCCGTCGTTAGCTTCTCGATCCTCTGATTCATCTCGCCATTCTCTCGCACCAGTTCCTGATTCTCGCTCTCGAGCTCTCCGATTCTACCGGTCAGATCCGCCGTCTTCGCACCATCGTCCTGCTGATCAGGGTCGAAGAAACTCTCCGTCTCTTCGCCGTTCATGTTCCTCTCCTCCGCCATCTCCGGCAGAAGCAGAATGGCAAAGTCCAGGGGAAGAGAGAGAATAAAACCCTAATGTTTTCCACGAAGATGGTGAAGAAAAAGGATCGATTTTTTGTGAAAAAGGAACACACCTTTTTTTGATTCGATTAGGGTTTGGGGCGGAGATTTTTCAAGAACCACTGTCTCTGATCAACATGATCCTGCTACGAACGGACGGTTGAGATGAGATTCAGCAAGATGGACGGTTGAGATTATTTTCTCTGCCGAAAGGTGGCAATAACAAATGGAACAAAAGGTGGGCTTAAAGTTGTAAAAGACTGGGCCAGAAATGTAAAGGCCCATTTCTATTTGGGTTGAATTTAAGAAGATCGTGGATTACGACGAAGAAATGTCCAAATATTCATAATTTTATTAATGCATTTATTTTACAAGAAAAAAAAATGGAGAAATGAGTTTATCAACTTAACCCATTGCTATTTTCTGTTATTATTATTAGAGATCAATGTTCAGATAGGGAGTTTCTAGTATGTATGAAGTTTAGATATCGCTATATTTCTTACTAATACATAATGTATCATTTTGTAAATTTTGATACGATAAATGAAACAATAATTAATATATATATATATATATCAACTTCGTTGGCTCTATACGATTCAAATTTTATTGGTTTTTTAAGTATAATTTTTTTTGGGTTTTAATCCCTTTGGACGTTTGGTGGAACCTCGAATGCATATTATATATGGTTTTCTTTCATCCGCAAGATCATTAAGCCTTCGGTCCAATTACATTTTTTAAAAGATCAGAGAAATCCATATAATATATCTTTTCAAATGGAGACATGAACGTGGGTTGAAAAACAGTTTTATCTTATTACTTACCAGTTGAGTCACCCAATATTGAATCGTAGTATATGTAGTTGAGATGATTTGTATATATATTCAAAACATGCGTGATGTATGGACATATATGTGTGTATATATATATGTATAATTGGGTTGATGTAATAGATGCATGTGGAAGAAATTGAATGTATGCATTTTGAGTAACAAAAGCAAAAAGGGCATGATAATACGATAATGGTAAGGTCGAGGTTCAAACGAGGAGAGGACTACATGCATCATTTTTTATTTCCATAAATAGATCCTTTTGTCCCATAATATAATTTTTTTAGGTCAACAATGCATTTTCCCATTCTTCACCTACCCCCCACTGCCATCATCATTGCATTTCCCTTCTTTTTTGTGTGATGGGTGTTTTTTTTTTTTTGGATTAATGGATATCAAAATAAATACTTTAAAAATGTGCCCATCCACTTCGTGTTATTGTATTCTATTTCCAATCAATGTTAGTCTATAGGACCATTAATTAATTATTCCACATTTCATGATATATGAAAGATATAAGGTCGTCGTCTATGGATGTATTTCGTTTAGTTATTTTATGTTAAAATTAAGTGATTATAGAATTATAAGGTTTCCATGCACACGAAGAATAAGCAAATTAATTTTTGTTTGGACTAAATTTAGATGACCCGCGTCATGTGTGTGGGAAGCGTGACAGCAAGAAAGATAATCATGCATGCATGCATGCATGCAAATAAAACACCACCCATGTTTGATATATATATATATATATATGTGTGTATGTGTGTGTATATATATCAAATTAAAAGTAGAATGATCAATATATGATCATAAATAATATTGTTGATAAGATGCATCGTTTTTGTACCACCGATCAATTCCCGGTGCAATTAATTCATGATAATGCATGCAATATTGACTCTATACGTGGTAATAGACTATTAGGACTGATCCCCGCATGCACCGGTCGTGCTATAAATAATAAAATTAATAAAGAATATTTACTCGATATGGATATATAAAACAGGAATTGGAAATAATATAGCATGCTATATCGAGACCAAGAATGAATGTAATCCATGTGCCGGCCATATGAAAATCCACCGTATTGGCTCTGTTTTATTATAGACAGAAAGAAAAATATAATATATCACCCAAACTTGTCCAACTTGTAATATAATTCTGGAGTTCATAATGCTGTGGCTATATATATATATATATATATGTATACATATATAGGGATATACTCATAACGTTTCCAACTATGTATTAATCGAGTTCGAGATAATCTTGAATCTTAATCCCATCCTTTTTTTTCTTCTAAAACCCGACATCTGAAGGGATTCTAATAATTTTTCAGATATATATATATTTTTTATAATCGGGTATTTTGGACTGAAAACCCAAATTAATCTCAAAATTAGGAACAAACTATGTGATCCCCAACTTAAAACTTGAATTTGGGACGGAATAAACGCTTTGCGTCTCCATTTCATCGATTGAGTTATGGATCATAAATAATTATTTGTGAATATAATTAGTTGAATATTATGAGGGATGGTTTTATGGATATTGTAATTATATTGGAAAATTAAGATGACCATAACCCTAATTTATAAAAAAAAAATAAAGGAAAGAAAGTCAAAGGAGGCAGTGTTGCAACCTCACAGGCTGTTTGTTTCAGACAAGTCCACTCCATGGCACACTCCTCTTCACACTTCTCTATGCTGATTGAACATTTAATTTCTCACACTCCCTTTAGGACGTTGACTTTTTTTTTCCCAAAAATTTATAGTTTACGTACCCAAAATAATGTTTATATATAACAAAAAAAAAATGATATTCAGACAAAAGGAGAGGAGACTGCTGTCCGGCTGTGACTTGTAATGTTAGGGCAACAGACGTAAATGATCTCTTCACAAGTTGGGATCTTCCTATATTTTTTTTTATTAATTATAAATTTATAGAACTATATTCGCATCTTCTTCTACCATTTTATATGCGCTCGATATTAATTATTAAAATATGAAGTTGAATTGAGTACACTTTATGGAGAAAATGTAAGATTTTGTAATGAGATTAATCGGATAATTAATGGTGGTGGTTCGGTGACTTAGGGTTTAAACGTTCAGGATGTTCATATCGTGATCTATATCTTATATATATTCTATATTTTAATAATTATAATTTTAAAAGTGACAGCTAATTAAATCAACACGACTCTATTATTATGTCCTGTATTTCTATTGAATTTGTAATTAAGTTTGACTTGGGTAGTCACCAACAACATTACTATAATTAATTAATCTATACATCATTTGTAATCGATTCGGGTTTACACTCATTTCTCTCAACTGCCAACAACATTTGTACTAATCGAATGGAATATATATCATCGTAATCTCCTTCTAGCTTTGGTTAACATATCTTAATTAAATATCTATAAATTAGACACGAATATATAGCATAATCAAACGTTTTGTTGATTTTGATTCAATGCAGACCGAGAAACACATCAATTTATTGGAGGGAATTATGACTTTAGTAAGATATTTAATAATTTTTTATTAGCTTGCCCTTTGTATAATATATATAATGCATGCACGTATCATATTGGTTAACGACATGCATTAAACCGACGTAAAAACCTTAAATGTACCAATGACTTGAATATAAAGCGTGACAACATGTTGCACAAGTTTTAATGCAAAGGAAAGGGATTTTTTTTAAAAAAAAAAATCGAACTTATATAATCCACATGACTAATTACAGGTTTAGGGTATATATGTAGCTAATTAACTCGCATTTTATGTAAAATTGATCGTATTATTATTATGTATTTCACATGCATATAATGGAATTTTATGGACCATCGGTTCAACTACAATTAATCATTTCATACAAAAAAAACTACAATTAATTAATCATAAAAAAATAAAAATTATGTTGGTCGATCGAGAGTTGAAATTTTAGATGTTCATGTCATGTGTGAAACAACTTAAAAACCAAGACTAAAATTTTCAAAATTTGTTGCCAATTTCACCAACAAAAAAAAAAAAAAAGAGAGAAGCAGGACATGCAAAGAGATCGAGGTCGGTGCCAAACACATAACCTAATCCTTTAAGTCCTAAAAGAAAAATGGCGCAATTTAAAATTTTAAATATTGATTTGAATATAAAAAAAAACCTATATCCCATATAACATAAAATTGAAAAAGAAATTGTTACTGCCAGAAATTTAACGATATAATAAAATTATATAGTTGTTGTGTTATCTCGGTTAAAAAATTATCTATACATTCTATATTTATTCATATCTTTATTCGAATTTCACTAAAAAAACAGCGTTGCAATATTAAGCTAAATATTGATAAATGGTTTGGAGCGTTTTATATATGTGTGCATTTTACAAGATATGATCGTAATTAACTAATTATACCTTCTATAATTTTATTATTAACTATTAAATGACAAATATCGAAAGATAACCATTTAAAGATTTTTTTTTGGAATTGTTTACGATTTCTATTTCTAACAATATTAATTTAAAACTTCTCTTCTAATTATAACCACATTCCAAGTGTTTCTATTTCAAATTATTCAAATTATATAGGTAACAAATGAAATGTAAACCATAAATATTGAGACCTAACGGCACTTCTTCTTCTTTTATTTTTTTTTTTTTTTGGGGGGGGGGGGGCTAATTGACTACAATGCATACGTTCTTGGTATAATATATATACATATATTTTGTCACAATTACAAACTTTATGTATATAGATATATATATTTATTATCGTCTAGTTACAAACTTTGTATTTTTTTTGTCTCAATTACAAACTTTGTATATACGGACAGATGAACACAAAAAAAAAAAAGGGGGAAGGAACCAGAACGTTGTGGCGGGCAGTTAATGCGAGAGGTGTGTGTCTTAACCAAACACCTTTTTCTTTTTTAAAAAAAGGTCAAACTTCACACACATCACCTTCGCTCTTCACTATATATACGCGCACACACACACACACCCCACCCTGTAACCTCGGCGTCTCCTCCATCACAAGAACTCTCTCTCTCTCTCTCTCTCTCTCTCTCTCTGAGCTCTGAAACCATAGCCATGGTGTTTCCAATGGTTCTGGTGAAGATTGCTGAGTGGGTTCTGTACCATCTTCTGGGCAATTCTTGTTACAAAGCCGCAAGAAAGCTGAGGAATCTTCTCACTTTCTCAAAGTCTTCACCTTTTCACCAAACCCACCAGCAAAATCACTTCCAAAACCCTCCGAATCTCTTCCCGAGCATCACGAAATTCGAAACTCGAAACGGGGTATCTGACAAAACCTTGATCTGCGACATCGATGGTGTCCTTTTAAGACCATCCTCGAGCAGATACTTCCACTCTTTCTTCCCTTACTTCATGCTCGTTGCGTTCGAAGGCGGCAGCATAATCAGGGCGTTTCTCTTGTTGCTTTCTTGTTCTTTTCTCTGGTTTTTGGACGATGACCTGAAACTCAGGGTTCTGTCGTTCATAACCTTTGTCGGGCTCAGAGTCAAGGACATGGACAACGTCGCAAGATCTGTCTTGCCCAAGTTTTTCCTCGAGAACCTGAATCTCGCTGTTTATGACATCTGGGTCGAAACCGGGTCCAGAGTTGTGTTCACAAGTTTGCCCGGAGTCTTGGTCGAAGGTTTTCTCAAAGAATATCTGAACGCAGAGGACGTGATAGGGACCAAAATGCAAGAAACGGAAATCATGGGGAGGAAATTCTACACAGGGTTAGCTTCAGGGTCTGGTTTCGTTGTGAAGCAGAAAGCAGCCATGGAGTTCTTCTCCGCCGACAAGAAGAAGCCAGAACTTGGGATTGGAAACTCTTCAAGCCTTCAGGATCAGCTCTTCATCTCCATTTGCAAGGTAATTAATTAAACTAACGTTTTCATATGATTTCAAGCCCTAATGCTCTCAAAATCCATTGAAGAAAGTGTTGATTTTGGGAATTGAGTGATTAATCACACTAATCAAAGCCAAAAGCATTATACCCAAAGCTGGGCATGTGTGTATTACGTGTTGCCATAATTTAAGTCCCCACATAACCGCATGGACACTTTTTTCTCAGATGGGTTTAAAGAATCTGACCAAACTCATCATAATTACCACACCAGAATCCCTGTGGCCATGGTCTTAATTACAGTGGCTGACCCATAAATCAGTATATGGCCCCAAGTTTTGTCAATTCCTTGGATCTATCGATCGATCAATATGCTGAAAATGTGGTCCTTTTTTTCCTTGATTTGTAACAGGAAGCTTATCTGTGGAGTGAAGAAGAAGATCAGGCCAAGAACAGTTCAGTACCGAGAGAAAGATACCCAAAGCCTTTGATCTTCCACGATGGAAGACTTGCTTTCCTGCCGACACCGTTATCAACGCTCTCCATGTTCATGTGGCTCCCCATCGGCATCTTCCTCGCCATCTTCAGGCTCTTGACCGGCATCGTTCTTCCTTACAGGGTAGGCCTTGCGATGGCTGGTCTCTCGGGCGTCAAGACAACATTCAAGACTCGGAACAGCGGTTCCGACCGGAACAAGCAGAACGGTGTCTTGTATGTTTGCAACCACAGAACGCTGCTAGACCCGGTTTTCCTCAGCGTGTCGCTTGCCAAGCCATTGACGGCTGTTACTTACAGCCTAAGCAAGTTCTCCGAGGTCATAGCCCCCATCAAGACAGTGAGGCTGAGGAGAGACAGGGAGAAAGACCGGGAAATGATGCTGAAACTGTTGAGCCGGGGAGATTTAGTGGTTTGTCCGGAGGGGACAACCTGCAGAGAGCCTTATCTACTGAGATTCAGCCCACTGTTTGCTGAGCTGACAGAGGATATTGTCCCTGTGGCCGTGAACACAGAAGTGAGCATGTTCTACGGGACAACTGCAAGTGGGCTGAAATGGTTGGATCCGATCTTCTTCCTCATGAACCCTAAGCCCCATTACTGCCTACAAGTTCTTGGGAAATTGCCAAAGGAGATGACTTGTGGGGGTGGAGGAAGATCAAGCTTTGAAGTTGCAAACTTTATACAGAGAGAGCTAGCACAAGTCTTGGGATTTGAGTGCACCAATCTCACCAGGAAGGACAAGTACTTGGCGCTTGCCGGAAATGAAGGCATTGTCAAATAAAACTGCATTCTTCTCTTCTAGTACATCATCATCATCTTCATCGTCATCATCATTCATTAGGGTTTTTACTTTCTAGCCATTCTTCTTCTTTTTTTCTTCAAAAGTTCATGACATTTATCTCTATGTTTGTTTGATTCATTCCTATATTTTTTTCCACTGAGACATCCTCAAAAGCTCTTGTTATGTTATTAGTACATCATCAGTTTGACTCTAAGCCCCTTAGAACATATTTTTCCGCAACTCCCGGGGTTAGTCAGTTATGATGTACACAAGTTTTTTTTGTATATAGTTTGTATATATATGCGTATATATATACGTATAGATTTTCTTGTTCATGTTAAAATACAAGCCCAATATCTTGCAGAATCTTTAGAAGATTTAGAGAAGTTCAAGGGAGGAGCTGTTTGGGCACAGTCAAACATGTTCATAACTTCTTATGCTACATTCTTGGATTAATTTTTGGCTCAAAGTAGAGAGATTTTTCAAACTACGCAACAGATTTTCTCGATAAAAACCCCATGGCACAGGAACTGATCCATGAATGAATGAGAATGGTGAGATATTTGTAATAACATGAGGATGAACTGGAACAACCTTTTACTGTTCTACACTTTCACGGGTCCACCATCATCAGAACTCGAGAGATTCGCGCTTGTTATGATGAAGGACATCGCATCGCATCATCATTTATCATCGTCGTCGTCGTCGTCATCGTCATCATCATTGCTCTCAAAGCACACATCTTTCTTCGGCGTCGAGTTATGGGTTCTGATCATCGCCGCTGGAGCCGCCGCCTCCCTCCTCGCGGCTGTGGTCGTGGTTCTCTCCCTCTGCCTCCTCCGCCACCGCCGCTGGCAAGAACCCTTCAGGATAACGAAACCCAAGTTCTGTCTTCCCTTGAAACAGAGCGTTTCTCCGGACAGAGACGTGAAACCGAACTGCCGTGGCGGAGGTGTTCTCCACGACTCGTTCTCCTCGACTCAGAACCTGGTTCCCGGACGATTCTCCTCGACCCGTTCTCACTCGTTCTCAACCGGAGGCTTTGGGAGCTTCAACGTGTTCACTTTCATGGAGATTCAGAGCATGACAGATGGATTTTCAGACGAGAATCTGATCGCTAAGGGAGATTCTGGGTTTGTGTATCGTGGAATTTTCATGGGTGCAATGGCCGTATCCGTCAAGAGGCTTTCCTCCAATGCTCAAAGGTCTCATCTTTCACTTCGCTCCATAAGAAAGTTTCAATCTTTTTTCAGAAAACCCACCAAGAAGACATTATGTTTATGGTTACATGATTTCACATTTGATAACATCGTTAGTTTTCACTTAATAATATAAATTTTTTGTCAGGTCCGAAGCTGAAGAGTTCATGGCAAGAGCCGAGATGATAGCTAACGTTAGACACAAGAATGTCGCGAGACTACTCGGATGCTGTAATGAAGGGGCTGAGAGGTATTCATATTAGCCTTTCCTCTCTGTAACTATCATTGCATAGATACAGCGATATTTATCCATGTTTCGATTTGAATTTAGGGTTCTTGTGTATGAATACGTCGAGAAAGGTGATCTACAACAATGGCTTTACGGATCAAGAGGAAGAGTTCAACCTCTGTCATGGAGGAAACGGATGAATATCATTCAAGGAGTAGCAAAAGGGTTTGAATTCGATCTCGAGCATATACATATATAAAACGATTTGCTTTCGTTGCTCTCTAACACGGTTCTGTTTTCAGACTGGCATATTTTCACGAGGATATCGAGCCGAGAATCACTCACCGAGACATGAAACCGAGCAAGATCCTTCTTGATTATCAGTGGAACCCGAAGATGCTCGGGGTCGGATTCACCAGCAATGTTCCGACATTCTCAACAGCTGCGCCCTTGAGGAGTTCACCTGATGCTCGGGAACTGAAGAACGATGTCCATTCTTTCGGGGTTCTGATTATGGAGATTGTCTCCGGAAGAGTTCCAGTAGATCAAGATCTACCAAACGTAAGCACACAGGTAATCAAATCAGTATTCACACTCGTTAGTCAGTCACAATACTGATTTCTAGTATAAACATGCTTGGCAGGTTTATTTGGTGGATTGGATAAAAGAGATGGTGACAAATCATACCATAGTGAATGTCCTGGATCCTAGGTTGCCAGAATTTCCACCGGTGAAGGAGCTCAAACGTCTTATACTGATCGCCTTACGTTGTGTAGATCCCGACGTAGAACAGAGACCGAAGATGGGAGATGTGATTCACATGCTCCAACCTCGTGATTTGCTACTCAGCAATGTAACAGAGAAACTTTGCCTTTGTTCCTTGTAGCCAATCTCATGGATTTTGAACCGAGTTCACTTCTCGTGTCTTTGGTGCAGGCCGGAGAGGAAAGTCAGAAGATTTCCCGGTCATCTGAGGTCAGGGTAAACATGCGTGGAGCTAGAGTTTTCGGCAATCAGTATCAGAAAATGGGTCCGGATAGCAAGAGATGATGATGCTGCTTAATTATAGGAACTCCCATTCCTGATCTTCTTCTGGTTTATGCATATTAGGGATTTCTAAGTTTCAGAAATCTTTTTTGCAGTCTTGACTTTGCACCACCCGTGAATGTAAGTTCAAGACTCGGTCTAGTTTATCACTCATTAACTGAAAACGACGAGACTAAAAAAAACTTTCCTTTATTCATGGTGTAGGAGTCACACAAGTCATAGACCACAAGTTCCTTGAAAATACTAATAGCAACATCTTCAGTAGCTTAGGGGAACAAGAGAAGCATTACTTTCATTACCTTTCTGATGTTTGGACAATGAAGAAATGTGGAGAAGACATATTCATTCCAAGATCATTAACTCAGCACAAATGATATCTGCCACTGGAGCACAACAAGAGGTTAAGATAAAGAGATTGACACAAGTAACAAAAAAAAAAGATCATGGATCATAAGCATGCACTATTGAGTTGGATTCTATCTGGAACAACATAAGTAGATAAAATAACAGATGACTCATACGGAAGCATGAACCGGATAAAGAGTAACCTATATCAGGAAAGCCACATAGGAATGTTAATAAAGCCCAGAATCTGTTCACTTTATGGAAATACCAAACAAATAAGTAGCAGAGGACACAAATGCCCATTTATTAAGGATATCAACCAATGATATGTACACTATGCGTGGAATCACTATGCTCATTCTGCACACAAAGATAAAAAAAATACTAACCCTTCATGTACACACAAACTTTTTTCGGTTTATTCTGTCCATTGTGCTGTAGCTTATATATGATATACCAACAATTAGGCCACCTAACTCACTTTCACGTATAAATACCATGAAGAAAACGGTTAATAAACATTTAGAATAACCTTGGTCATAAGCCCAGCGAAACCACCACGAAACTGGCTTGGTCAAGGTTCAACTTTTACCAAGAAGATTAGAACTGGCGCCTGGAATGTAGCAAATTGAATATAAAGGCTTGGAACACTAGTTGGTCTTCGCCTCTGCACAAATGATATCCGCAATTCTAAAATGCACAAACTTAATGTAGTTAGTGATGTGACAGTAACAACAAAGTAACATTCCTGCAGTGACTAAAAACCAAACGGTGTTTTGAAATGACAGAAAAAGGTTTGCCTGTTAGTTATTCTGATGCTTACCTTTCTCTGACACTGTGAATACCATCAAGAATTTCGGTCATCTGCTGGACCTTTAGGTTCTTGGGCTTTTCTTCACGATTGAGCACTAAGGATGAGACATTTAGAATAGTAACCAGTTCATCTTCGATTTTCTCTAGCTGTTGGTCTAAATTTTTCAAGAAGGTCTCATAGGAGGATACTTCCGTGAAGATACTACTACTCGAAACATCTTCTGGTTCATGAGATCCGACATTCTCGTCTTGAATTCGTTTTCCAATATCCAGATTGAACTCTGATTTGCTGTCGTCTCCTGCATTCTCGTCTTGAACATATTCAGGCTTTGGAGATACAATGTGAACTACGCCTGGAGTATCGTCTCTATCCACTTCAAGATCCACAGATATACTCCCAACCAGCTGTGATTCCTTGATAGAAATTGCCTGAAACCGTATAATGCTTCTTTTGACATGATGAAGTACAAAGTAACATTTCTTGGATGGTGAAAAGTTGAAGGTCAGCCAGGTAAAAACCACGAAATGAATCTGGTTATTAGTACTTAGTGAGTTCTAGGCTCATACCAATAAGTTTTTGTATAGACATGCGAAGGAATCTGAACCAGGGTGAAAACAAAGTGCTACTAGGAACTTTTTTTTTTCTGGAAATGGAAACAAGTTATCTGCATCACATTTTTGGGTGCAAACAGATGTAACATAAACATTAAGAAAGAACAAGTAAAAGAGAGAAGAAGCAATTAAACGAGGTCTTTCAGACAGTAACTACCATAGAGAAGCAAATAGCTACAACTAAAAGCATGAAGCCAGATTTCTGGCTTCACCTTGGGCACACACTTGCACATTACCCACTATAAAGAAACATCCTAGGAATTCTGAAAAACATTGAAGCTTTTGCGAATGATGGAAAACATAGCATGATACTCTGAATGCTGATACTGGGCCCTGGTGCCAAGTTCAGACATGGTTAGAAACGTTAAGATCATTATATCTATACACGCAGACACTACCATGAGAATGATACAAATATATTTGACCACTAATACTTAATATCAAAGTCAGTTGATCTCATTTTCTACCTCATGAAGCTTTGATGTAAGCTTATCCAGAACTTCGATACGAGCTTTGGCCTTCTCCAAGGCTTGCATAACCTTCTTCTTTTGAACAAGCAACTCTCTGGCATCATTCTCTTTCCCCGTCTGAATGTTTACAGCAGCTTGTCTCCGTAGATTCTCCGCAGCCTCAGACAGTCGCAGAAGTCTTAACCTTGCACTGTTTGCTGAATAAAACACAACAATTTCTTCTTCAAGTTCAAGCCAAGGAGTTAACAATCAGAAAGTTAACGCATTTCAGAATCTGACGTTTTATACATTTCTGAATCTGACGTTTTATATCCTAAAGGTCCACGATAGCTTAAGATCTTTGCCACAGAGCCAAAAAAAAACTCGAAATAGAGCTTCAGAAATGGTTAAGAAAATCTCCACGGGATAAAAATGGACAAGAACTCAAAAAGGCATCATTTTTCGAAATCCCCATGATCAAACATTGCCGATGGAATCCACAGATTTGGACCGAAACTCACAAAAACCAAAAAATCTCCTACACTTGTCTTCTTCTGAATGCCCTAAAATAGCTATACGTCTACTTGAGAATACGAAGCACCGAAGACGAAGATAGCGAATAGTGACCTTTGGAACGGGTTGACTCCGCCTCGACGTGGAGGCAATCGAGCTCAGAACGGAGGAGGTTGGAGTTCGAGGATGCGGCGAAGCACCTGAGGCTCGCCGTCGGCGGAGGATGCCGGAAAACTACCATAGCACCGCCTCCGATCTTCGTTATCATCTCCTTTTTTTGTGCGTATTTTGGCATCAAAAGTTTTTCACAAAAAGGATCACAATATTTTTATCGTTTCGAAATCACTCCCCAAAGCTTCAGATTATATCAGAATTAACCCTTATGTTCTTTTATGCTCACAACATTTTCTAAAAGATAAGTATTTTAGGTTTTTGGTTTTAGTTTTTGGTTTTTGGTTTTTGGATTTTATAATATTTGGAAATTCAAAAAAATACTTTTGGGTTTTTTATTGATTTTTTTATTAAAATTGTTTTGTAAATTTTTAGGAAAAGTAATATTTTAAAATTTTGAATGTTAGCTTTTTTTTTGGATTTTGGATTCTAACAATGACGGATTTATTTGAAAATTTTTTTGTACCAAAACTTTTATCACTGTTTTGCATCCAATACCTCATTTTTTGACCAAAGAGATGCATTAAACTTTTGTTCCAACAAAAATTACTAGCATTTTTTATTATTTTAATATTGGCAGATAAGTTCTCTGCATAGAAAATATATCAAATATTATTCTATTATAGATACTTTTAAATATATATAAAAAAAACTATATGTTCACTATATATTAGCATGTAAAAATGTCAATTTTAAAAATAATTCATGTTTGGTTATCAAGTAATAAAAAATTACAGATTACAAAAAAATAATTCATATTGCATACGCTCCTCGTTGCTCCTCGTCCCGGGTTTACAGATACCCAACTTTGACCGGAGAATCCAACGTATCTCAATTTTGACGTCTGCGTTCGATTTTTTGATTTTTCTCGTCCATGCTTCGAATCGACGTCCGGATTTCGTAGATCGAAGATTTTCTGTACCTCCCTGTCATTGAATCTCTCTCTCTCTCTCTCTCTCTCTCTCGTCAAACTCTGTCGGAATTTCCAGGTAAATTTGCAATCTTTTGGATTGGGTGTTTTTTCCGACCATCGAATCCGGGCTTATGAAGCGTTTGATTGTCTTTTTCTTCGCTTCCTGTGGCAGAATTCGATCAGAAATGAACTGGGTTCAACGCAAAATCTACCTTTACAATGTCACTTTCGGGCTCTACATGCTTGATTGGTGGGAACGTTACCTTTTCAGTATCCTTTCTCTCGTTCGCTTCTTTGTTTTATCTCCAGAGAGATCCGATCTGTTTGATTTTTGTTTTATGCATGAAAAAAGGTTCAGTATTTTATCACTCGTCGATAGGTTTTCGATGCCCTTGAAAGTTCTGTGGTCTTTTATGATACAATGCTTCTATACGGTTTGTCTTGTCGTCTCATCGAGCTTGTGTCTACCTTCTCCTGAATTAAGGATGTTTCTGTTAGCTTGATATGATGAATTTCGAACAAGACGGATTCTAATGCGTATGTAGAAAGGTTCAATATTTTCTTTTATGTGTTTAGGAGTTTGAAACTATCAGTACAGAGAGGAAGGTTTTTGTTTGTGATGAAGAAAGGGTAGTACCTTGATGCAGAATTCGTTTAGGAAATCTTTTGATTTCGATATTCGGAAACGTGATTACGGGTCCTCTCGGTCTGCCTGCACAACATATTCTTGTCTTTCCTGAACTCTTTGTCAGATGCTTTGGTGATGGTCTTGTTGTGGTTCATGCTGTACAATGGGTCACGCTACATCTCAGAAGTCTTCAAGAGGTAAAGGAGCTTAATGATCTCTTATGCGGATTTAGTTTACTGAGTTTCACCCTTTGCACCATTTGTCACCATCTCACAACTTGTTTACATTATTGTTCTAGTTTTCAATACGATCAGTCAACACTCTCTCTCGTTCTTAATGTATCACTCCCTGTTCAACTTCTCACCTGTTTTTTTCAAGTCTTGTGATTGCTTGTCTGGAAATGTGCATAATTACCCAAGAAATGTGTACGTGATTAGCTGTATAAAAACCATTATACTATGATTTCCATGCTGCTACAAAATGGCTCTATGGCTACTTCTGTGGAAGCCAAAATGGTGTTATGGTTGACTGCTTGGGGCTATGAGGAATGAAAATCATGGTGGAAAACTGAAGATAGCATGCTTGCTGCCTCGATATTTTTCTTTCACCATACCGAAAGTAGTATCTTGCTTGTGTTAATACTTTTGAAGATTGATACCTGATGTTTCCTAGGATTTGAAAAAGCAAATATGGCTGCACCATTGCCTTGCCTAGTCCATTTTGGTCTGAGGCAGAGTGATTTATCCTCTCTGGAAGTTCCATGAGCTTGATGTAGAAAGGGTTTTCAAAAACACTTCTAGTTTGCTAGACCGCCAAACCCATTCTTCCTGTTTAACTGCTACTAACAACTGGTTCTTGTGAAGGTGATTTATTTGAATTGATTCTTCAGTAATGCAGAATGTATATTAGGCTGCGTTCAGAATGTTCAAAAGCATTCTGAGGCCTGCTCTTGATGATAACTCTTTCTGTTTTTCTTTTGCTTTGTTCCTTTTATCCTTGCATTGCAGACATTTGTCATGGTAGAGGTGTTGTTTCTCAAGTCATAGAGCATGACGGGACTTGGAACCTTGATGGCATACCAAGGATGATCATGATTTCTGAGTTCAGCTCGTAAGAACAACGCCTTTCCGTGCTACTTTAATGTGCCACTGAAGATTTTTGAACTGCCTTTACTGCTCTGTATCTTTTGTTCCCAAGTGTTTGAATTGAAAGATACTTATCCTTGGACTGGAAATTTTGGAACTGTTCTGTTGTATTCTCATTAACCCTTCCAGACAGATGCAAAACAGATCCCAGTGACTGTGCTATCATTATGACCAGACTACCATTAAGCTAACTCACAGTTTTACAGAGTCTCTTGTGTTACTTTTCTGTGTTCTCTGAAGCATGGAAACAGATTGTCCACCAATGTGATACAATCTACAACTCTGCGTGCTAGAAGCATGTTTCCAAAATGTATAAAGAATCAGAGATGAAGCATGTTAAATTCTCTGGAAAACAATTAGATTTGAATAGATGTTCATTCACAAGCTTTATACTAGAACAATGGATTCCTATTCTCAGACAGAAAAGGAAATTCAAGAAGAGCCAGTCCCCTGATCTTTTGGCAATGAAGACGAAAATATCTGAGAGAGTAGAGCTTGATCTCTCCTTTTCAGCTTTTTCGAACCAAATCCTCGGTGCAGGCCCAGTTTAACGGCTTCTCTTCCTTCTTCGGCTATTCTCTTCCTAACAGCCACCAAAGGTTCTGGTCTTTCAGAAGCACCTTCTTCATTGACATTTCCATCTTCTTGTTTCATGTCATTGTCCACAATCTTTGCATCTTCGTTAGTATCAAGCTGATGTGTACCTTCTGAGGCCTCTACCTGATCTTTGGAAGCATCTTTTCCTGTGGTGCTGCTACCCCACCATTTGTTTGTAACAGTTGATAACCCATCCGATGGGAATCCACATTTAAACTCATCCAATGCTGCCATTGTCTTTGCCAAATTTGAGTTAACCCATGTATTGGACTTCCCCAAGCCATGGCTTTTGTTCCTGTCTTGCTGCATTTCCCTATCAACCTGGGATTCAGAATCCTTCTTTCTTTTGACGTTCGGAACCACTGGCATCAAGAAAACACGGAACGAAAGAGCAAAAAAACAGGCATAAGCTCCATAGCTAATAGACAGATTAAACTGCACACTCAAGACTATACCGGTTGACATGACAACCTCAAAAGCACAACGAAATGGTAAAGTGATCCAAGATGTGGTGAAGTCATTGCATTTGCTGCCAATTCATAGATACTGCAGTGCTAGCTAGGAGAACCAGTACATGAAAGGATCGTTATCCCATCATATGAGTATCCTACATCCCAGCAATAGGTTTCCTCCGTCTTTTCCCCAAAAAAGAAACCCTAAATTCACCAATGAGTAGTAATCTCTTGAGCTTCAAAAGTCATTACAACTATGAGAGTTGATATAAGACACAAACCCCTATAAGCAGAAGCAGACGCAGACCCAACGCTAAAACGAACCAAGCGGATGGTACGAAATCGTGGGATAACAGCATTAACCTAATTTCGCCATCGTTCATGGGTTCCATTTCCAGAATAAAAGGCCAAACCTTTTAGCCAGTTCATGAATACCCACTTACTGGCAACCTCGAAAACCCTAATCTCAAACGACCATAGAGTTTCGGAATCGAAGATTACCTCCAGAAAGCGTCCGCGATGAAAAAGACACTGACTTTGTTTACTGACTCTCTTCAGACGTAGCAAATGACAAGTAGACAGCAACCGATCCGTGAAAAAAGATGAAAACTTTTGGAGGGAAAATAGACCTAATTATCTAACTCAGATCATGAAGAATCCAGGGTTGGATTGGATGTACATAAAAACTAAAAAGCAGTCGTGAGGGATGTAAACTGCGTGCAGTTTTTGGTTTCCACTACCGAACAACGTGACGTTATTACGTGCCTTCCCGCCCTGCTTGAGTGCGTGCAATTCCCCGAACGACGCGAGGTTTTTCACTGCATATTAACATTACAAGCAGATCGAAAACTTGTCCTATTTAAAAAAAAAAAAACTAAAAACAATGCGCCCTCGAATCGTTATTGAATGTTTTTTTTTACAGTAAGTCAACATCTCTTTATTCCCTCAAAGCTTATCAAGTTGTTTACAAGATATTTCTGTGCAACATTTACCAAAAAAAAAAAAGATATTTCTGTGCAAGACAAAACGCCCACGATGTAATAGAAACTCACTGTCGGTCCACGATTTCTAATATTATATTATATATATATATATATATATGGTGGGTTAGAAAAATCTCATATGGATAATATATGTAAGAAGATATATATATAAGGAGAAACGTTTTCAATTGACCTGTTATCCGTAATTAGAGGAGGGTCCAATCCCACGTCGAACATATCATTGGTCATATGTGTTCGTTGCAGTGATAAGATTTGTTTTCTTCGGTCCGAAATAATTTTAATTGTTGTAATCGTGCCTATTCCGCCTTTTTTTTCTTTTTTTTCTGTCCTTTCCACTTGTACAGACTGTAGTGATAGAGATTTTTTTTTACAAGATCACGATCAATATATATATATATATATATATATATATATCAATTATAAACACATCAATTAATGAAAAAATAACCCATAGCTCTGATATTATAAATAAAAAATTAAATGGATATTTCTTTGGCACATTTTATTCACATTTAAATATTAGCAACAAATGTAAAGAAAATGGAAACAGCATCCAACGGTAAATCCTAACGGTCTAATATTTTGCTTCTATGAAAATAAGCCGTTGGATAATATGGTTCGTCTTACATCTTTTTTTTTTTTGTAAAAACATCTTTTATTATTAACTCATCAATTTTGTTTTTTTTTTCATGATGTTGGTTGATATATTATTCATAAGCATATGTATATATATAACATTAAGAGTTGAATACTGTGTTACAATTCGTTTTTCGAACATAAAATTTAAAATCAAGTAATCTATACAAAAGTCAGTAATAGGAAAAAAAGAAACTCAGATTTAAATTGTTTATGAAAAATTATTATTATTATTATTTCTTTCTTATATTTTCCGATCTAAGACGATAAATGGCCATATTTACAAAAATACAAAATAGGGCAAAGGCGACAATAAAGGACCACATGGTCAACAAATTGAACATAGAAAATAAAATAACTCGACTCGAGAGAATCTTAAATCTTTTTTCTTTGTCTCAGTTTGTTTTATTATCATGTAAATGAGAAAATGAGATGAAAAATGGATATATATATATATATATATATCATCAATTTAACGTGGGGATGTGAGGGCAAGTACAAAGAGAAGTTCAAATTTTTATTTTTATCTTATTATTAGTTTCAGAAACTCATTTTTTTTTATGGAAATAATATGTTTTACGGAACACCAAATCTTAGACATTGATTAGTTATATACTACTATAATCTAAAATTATTGCATTGTTATTAAATAACGTACCAATGATGTAATGCTTAGCATTGTTCATCACTTGTGAGGATGAAATGTATAAATATCCCTAAACACCACTGCCCGAATATTCCTTGATGTGTTTATCTTTTTTAAAATAAAAAAACTCACATTCATACATTTTTATTTTCATATATATATATAGATATCATTAGACACGTAATTTCATTGATACAACATTGCATCCGCCAATATATATGTACAACTTTCATTTTCTCATTAGACACGTAATTTCACTGAGAATCTAATCTTCATATTAATATATATTTGCATATAAAAGCGTAAATTCTAAAGTAATATTATGGTATATAAAACAAAGGACCGTTGCCTGAGTGGATCTCACTGTAAAAAAAAGCGAAGACAGGTGGACCAATTCTTCCACCAACCCTCCAACATTGCCTATATTACAAAAATACCCCTCTCTCTCTTTTTGTTTAATTTTTTTTAATTCATTCGCCCCACTTTTCCGGAACAAAAAGCTAAAAGAGCATCGCATTCCCTGCCTCCGAGTTTACCAAAGTATCCTCATCCTCCCCACCAATTCACCAAAATGCCATCGTCTCCTCCGCAGTATATTATCACATCCCCGTAGGCTTCCCTGTTCTGCAAGAAGAGCCAACTCCGCACTTCGAGAGATAGAGAGAGAGAGAGAGAATGGGAGCGATGAAGAAGTGGGTGTCTCTGAAGAAACGGAGGGCGGGCAAGGTGGCGGAGGAGGAGGAGGAGGAGCTGACGTGGCGGAGGCTGACGTGGAGGCCGTGGAGGCGGCTGTCTTCGTCGGCGATGAAGTGGAAGAGGCTGGATTTCATACAGAAGGGAATAATGGACAACGTTGTGTTCAGAGTCATGTACGTCGTCGAAGCTCTTGTTCTTGTCTCCACTCTCTGTTTCTTCTACCTCTGCTGCGGATGCCACATCTGACTCACCTTTACACTTACAATACACACACACACACACACACTGTATAACCCTACACACTCCCACTTTTTTATTTTTGGTCCTTTTTTCATCCTTTTATTATCATTATATTCCATTAATTTGATTTTTTCTTCCTATAATCTTTTTTCGTCCTTTGTTTTATATATTTTGGAGTTGTTTGGTTTCTGGGTATTAGCTTAGTTAATAGTTGTTCAACGCTTCATCTCCATGTACCTCGTATCTTTCTGTTCTTCCCTTTGTTTAAGATGTTGAATCTTGTTTCTGCAACACAGATTCTTGATTCTTGTCTTTGTAAGCAAACTCACTACGACTCCCGTAAGGAAAAAAAAATGGAATCTTTACGGCTAATAAAAGGATCGGATCGCAACCGGCTATATATGTATATCAAGATCTGCATCTCCAGAAAGCTAGATCGAAGAACGAAAAATCGACGAATTAAAAATCATACTTGCAATTCAGCCGCCGGGACCGTTTCCTGATCATCCTCCTCGAGCAAAACCTGTCCAATGATTTACCACAAAAGCCAATGGCACCAATTTCTTAGACACCAATTTCATGATCATCCATCTCATCGAGAATTACGTATTTTCCTGTCTGGTTCGAAGTGGATAGACTCTTCCCATCTTCCGGGTTTTGCCCCTTCTGTAGTTTCTTATACCTAAAAAAGAAGATAAATCACTTCAACGTCGATATTCAAAAACTGTATTCCGGCCTTGCATCTTTAACAGGGCTGTGTTTTTTTTTAATTCATCCGGTTAAGAGGAAGAGGATAGATATGAGCATTGGTGGTGGTGCTAGTCAAGCATCTGGATATTCAAGAGGAAATGGAAGGGATAACTTACTTGTACAAATTGAACAGGCTGACACCAAACATGATGATGATCAGACCGACACCTTTCAACCACGTGAATTCATCGTGGAAGTAAAACACCGCAACCTGAATGCACCGGGGAGGCATGTTTGAGGCATACAAAATTCAACAATATGAAATCACGCGCTACTGATGATAAGAGCATGTTAGTAATATATAGTTAAGGACTTTTTAGTTTAAGTCTGGAAGATGGACATCAGTAGTAGGATCTAAGTCTCACTTGTAACATGTAAGACCATCATTCTCTAATCAAAATATCAGGGTTTCACCTTATTTCACCAAGAAATAGTTGGGAAATTACGACCAAACGTAAAGCAAAGTAACCATAACCATCGAAAGATATAAAGCCTGTAGGAGGTTATACCACTATGGTGACAGCCTCTTTAACGACACCCGCTATTGTGACGGTTACAGCACTGGTCACAGAAACAAGAACGTACTCTGTTAATACCTGAAAACAAAACGGATCCATTTCAACAAGAATAATTATGCATTCAGAATATTAACTTGTGATGACACGAAAGGTAAAGTATCACAGTACAACTTCACTGTAATTTCTATGTTTTCCAAAGTATAGAGAACTATACAAGAGCTGTAAAAAGGTGAAGCCTATTCTCACCATAAAAAACGCCAGTGCTCCGCCAAAAAACATCAAGAAGCAACTCCGCGCTATATGTGGTTGACTATCAAAGTATTGGTTGCTTCTAAATTCACTCCATGGATCCAATAGAAGTGAAAGAAGACCGGTCACCAAAGCCATCACCGGGGACACGTAACTCATAAAGGTAAATGGATTTTTCAGGCCTAGAAATAAACATAAACGAAAATTAATACAGAGGCGTTCTGAAAATTTAGACAAGCTAAAACAAAGGAAGACATTTAGATAAATAGTGGTTGTGTGTCAGGCAATGCCTAGATAGTGATACTTAAGAGTGTATGACTAAATTGGGAAAGGAAAATAACGACTATGCCCATAAGGGAAGCTATGGCAGTGTGAACACTGAAGTCTGACAAGATGGCATAACAGGCTACAGCAATATGGCCCACGAGCTTGAGAACCAGAAAGGAAACAAAAAAAAAACATAAAGAGAAGTCCAAGATCATAACCCACCATATTCTTCTTTCTATGAACCATGTCCGTATCAGAATGCACCACAATATTGGTGGATGAAATCCATAAAAAGAAAAGGGTCAATATATAACAATTCGGAATACGATAGAAAAGAAGCTAAACTTTGTGGTAGATAATACCTGCAAAAGAACTTGTGCCATACACCAGCGGAAACCAGACATGACAGCAGCAAGCATAACAAAAACAAAACCCCAAAACTCAAATTCTGTCTCCTTTGCAACTGGATATAAACAAGTGCAAGTTAGCAATGAACAAAGCACTAACAGGTTCAATGGTTCAATTAGAACTTCAAAATAATTCATGAAACTGTCCCAGAAAACAAAAAGGAAGGGAAAATGCATGATATCTTGAAGCTTCCCGCAGTGAGCAGGAAGACAAGTTGACTCGGGTAGGTCAAACAACAGAAAACAAAGCATTATACACATGTTAATAGAAATAAAATTACCTGTTAACAGAACACCAGCAGAGATTACTGAGATGATACCAAAAAGTTTAAGGCTTGGAGATTCCAGCCTACAAGAGAAACCTTGTGACAGAATATCATGTGCACATAAAGCCACCGGATAAGATGAGCATAAAACATCAAATATGCAAAAATGTGGGGTCTGCATAGAACTACATAATGCAGTGCTGTCAGGTATAGCCAGGGAAATAGAGTATATTATTGATTAACTGATTTGAGTGTAATAAGGCAGCAAGCACAAGTGAATCAGCTTAAGTTTAAACTGGTGATGCACAGAGTTACCAAGCTCATAGGTAAGCATGAAGGCACAAACATGTCCGATTTCACATGCTTGAAAAACATGTCTACATAAGATGCCTCTCAAGGGCAATACCACTTTTCTCTTTGATTTCTTCTTATTAAATTCTCCCTCACTGAACAGTTCAACTTTATTCACATCAACTGTGGATGACGTCTCAGTGTGTAATTTCCATCCTAATCTTACCCTTAACCACCTCCCTCTCACAAAAGCAGAAATGTTCGTGTATTATGCAACAGGATGATTAGAACAATGAATTTGCAAGACATTAGTTACAGATGAAGCACCTGAACGCAAAAGCAAACAGAAGAAGAAATATCGGGGCTGCAGATTTACACTGCAAAGATAACGGAAGAGTGAGATGGTTAGAGAACTTTAATCCCATTTCTACAGCAAATCCGTGAAAAAGAAGACTTTCTTTTATCAACCTTTTATCAAGATGAAATACTATCCTAACATTACTATGGCAAGAGAAATACTAACCATTGTCGCAAATGTAACAGATATGAATACAAGTGATGCGTTACTTAAGTTGACATCCATGGCTGTTCCAAGTGCTGTTGGTACAACTGTGAAAGGCAAAATCCATCTGTAGCATTAGTACATACACAGTCAATATAATAAGTTTCAGAGAAAATTTAATGAAACAAAACTAAATTTCAGAGAATCAACCTATCTCTTGATGTCACTACATATTGTAGATGCTAGAAGACGTTTCAATAAGCAAATTCTCTAAGATATATAATGAGATGCCAAAAGAAAACTGTCAAGGGCTTCTTCATCAGAAAACCAAATGGCATAACTTCTGTTGGTTTACCTCTAACGAAATAGTCTCTCCATGATATGGTAACACCAGGTTGAAATCTTTCGGACCAGTACCATGTGATCATCTTGGATAAAACAGCTTGCATAGAAAAGTGAATTGTATTCATTAGCAAGGGAGCAGGAAATTTCCCCAGATCATCTCCTAAAAGAGTTTTGTTGTACCTAGAAAACAAACAAACGGCTTAAATTCGGACAGCAAAGAAAAAAAAAAGCTAATGGTAGATGGATGGTAAAAAAATACACACTTACAGGGTCAAAAATGTGCTGAAAGTATACCATACAAGAATAAAGAACAATGTTTTTAGCACATCAGCCGCAGAGATGACATCCTTCGAAGCTTTAGGTAACTGTTGAAGGTTATCAGTGGAATTGGAACCACCATTGAAATTGCTAGAGAATTTTGTCTCCTTACTGGTCTCGTTTTCAATATTGAACGGCTCATATTCCTGTTCTCTGTTGATAACTTCCAGAGTGGATACACTTTCCATTGTACTACTACCACGTTGCTGCATTCTCTGATCCATCGAATTCCTAATTAACCAGCCAACTCTCCTCCCGCAAAAAGACTCATTTCCTAAATCACCCCGATGGATTGAACGCAGCCCACAACAACTAGCTTTTGGTCACTCTAACAGGATTTTCCACCAGCTAAAAATGTGAGCAACCTCCCTGCTTAGGATGAAATTTCTTCAAGATGGACGCTTTCAGTGTCAAGGTCCATTTCTAGAATCTTTCAGAGTGGAAATCTGGCTAGATGAATCCAAAGAAAGTGGTAATTCTACGGGCATCTCAATCGAAAGAAATGCTTCCTCTGCAGATATGACTGGAAGCAAAAAACCTCAAAGCAGTAAGCCTATACCATCACAAGCATACAATTTCAATAAGTGCAAGCTTCTTATGAATTTCGAATATCCCAGTGTTCAATCGAATCACAGAAGAAGCAAGAAAATTCCACACATCTACGAGCCCTGACTGTAGTGTAATTCCACATAAGCGTTGCAGCTTCACAAAAGGACGAGTGACGTAAAAGCAAGACAACAAACAAAAGCTATATCGCCAGAATCCAGGAACGATAATCAATAATGCCAAAAAAAAGGAAGGAAAACACCCCGAAATGCATTCTATTTTGGCAGAAAGGATCGAAATGTCAAACAAAACCCGATTCCGATCAATCAAGATCAAGGAAACTCACGGAATCTGAGCTCAAAAACCAATTCGACATGGCACAAACGGAAAACAACCCTCACTACTGAACAATCTGGATTCAAAACTGAGCTAAAATCCTACAGATTCAAGCTGTAAACGGGGAAAAAAAAAGATCCACAAACCCGACAAAGTAAGGCCAGAAGCGGGGACGAGAAATGAAATCGCAAAAGAAGCGAATGAAGAAGGAATTGGAAGACGAACCTGGGAAGATTGGATTCGGTACAGAGAGGGAATTGGGTAGGTGGATCAGATCGGAGCGTAGGAGGAGGCAGTGGCGCTTGCGTTTTGATTTCTGTCTCAACCGCCTGTCGTTGTGTTTGGTGAACTTTTGCTTACATTTTAATTAATTCACGAAAGGGATCCCCCAAACTATAATTTCGCCAAAAATAAAATTTATTGATGCAAATTAAATCTTAATTATGCCGCTTTAATTAATTTCAGTGACAAAAAATTATAATCCTTTTTTTTGCACATTTTAGATTTATAATTCATAAAAAGAACGCTGACCGTTTCAGCATTTGTGTGTTTTAGATTTCATTGGGATGTGATTTATAAACATGAATCAATTATATATATATATATAAACATTGACCATACGTACGATTATTTGTGTCTAAATAAATTCATTGAGATAAAGAGATTTTTTTTACTAATTGTGATTTCCTTTCCTTTGATTTTTTTAGGGGAATAACTAAATACGCCAATTGGAGAGAAGGGCAAAGATTACGGTGTGATTCTCACCTTAATTTACACTAACCATATACATATTTTTACAAAAATACAAAAAAGATTTACAGTACATAGCTATATTGATTGAACTACGGTGAATACAATAATTAGACCTCATTTAGAATTGTCATCAGATACACATCACCATAAATAAAGAAACTTCTATATTATTTCCTGACAAATATTCTATAAATGACAATAAAATAAATCATTTTCACTGCTGCCATTTGACAAATTAATAATTATATATATATATATATATATATTTGTTTTATAATGTACCTTTTGGTGGATAGAAAATTGAGACGTGTCTGTCCACTTTTGAAGAAAATATCTGTTGTAGATATTTTTCAAATCCGCCGCGCCAACATAAAAGCCTCTTCCATCTCTCTTCCTTCATCCCTTTATCCCAACCCTTCTCTTCCCCTTTCGATCACATAAATAACAGAATAAAAAAAAAATGGAGCTTGAAGCCGTCACAGCGAAACGCAGACTCGCCGCCATCGCCGGTCACTTTCCGCCGGCCACTTGCGACTCCGTCTCCCCCGCATCTATCCTTCCCCTGGTATTCTCCTTTCTCTCTCTCTCTCTCTCCGTCCCTGTGTGATTGGATTCCTAGAAAATTGCGAGAACTATCGAAGGATCCGTAGTTTTTTTTTTCCTCATAACGTGTTCTCGTGTCCTGATCCGGAACGGCGAAGTTTGTATAAGTCAGGGATTTTCAAATTGTACTCTGGGAGAATTCGTTTATGTGCCTGAATAGAAGTTTTCCTGAGGTTTGTAGTTTCGAGATGCATTGATGAATCTATGAGAGACTTTTACTTGGAATTTCGCTATGAGGACATTGCGAGGGATTCATATTAGTTCACCGATTTAGGTATTGTGTGTGAAAAGTCGTGAGCTTACTGTAATGGAACTGTGTAAACATGGAAAGTTCTGACCAAGTTTCTGTTGGAACCCATGCTATTCTCGAGTTTCTCTTGACTAAACCTTCAGAGTTTATGATAATATCATGCTGTAAGTGGAAAAAGAAACTCGAATGTTTGGTTTTATCATTACAGATTAGAATCACCAGGCCTAGGAAAAGTGCTCTGTCTCAAATGTTTTGTTTCATCTTTAATCATTTCTGTTACTTTTCATGTCTCAGCACTGCAGCAGCAGTTTAAACAGCGTTATTCGAAGGTGTGACAACAGGATGAATTTTGCTCGCCAAGCATCTTCGGCCCAGTCCTATTTCATGAGGCAGGCTTCAGCGGATGAGGTATCTAAATTTCTTTATCACTGTACACTTTTCCTAGGCCTGGTGATTCTAATCTGTAATGATAAATGCTTGCTTTCCCCTTTGCCTGAATGTAATTTTTTTGTTCTTGACCATTTTTTTCCGCAGAGGACCATACCGCAAAATTGTGCTCCTCCCAGGTGCTCTTCCACCAGAATGAACGGCTTCCCTGCTGCTTCAGAATCACCATTATTTTCTAGACCTTCACAAGGGCTATCTCCACAGTTTTCTAAGCCTGCAAAAGAGGGATCATGTCTTTCTTCTGATCCGAATAACCAGCAAATGAAAAACTGGAAAAGTCCATCAAGTCCAAATCCTGGCCTTCCTAAGTTTGCCAGAACAGGTATATAACAAAAACAGGACACTGGAAATCGTGTGCTTATATGAGACTATAAACTTCTGAATCTTTTGCTTAATAATATTTGATTGTGGAACTTAGAACAATCATTCTCGTAGTGAATCGGTGTTTCAGCATTGGTGTATACCAATTATGCAAAGAAAATAAGTTATTGTTTGAACGTATCTGTACAAGTGAACAATAAAGACTTGAATGATCTCGGTTTTGCAGGGACTGGATGGTCTCCCAGCTCCGATATTGCAGAAAGTGAAGGCAGTTATATTATGACAGTAGAGTTACCAGGTGCCAATGTCGAGGATCTAAGAGTGGAGGTCGACAATAGAAAGTAAATGCTTGCGTCTCACGCAATTGTCTTACTTTTAATGGCCAAATTTCAACAAAGATATTTCTTTTCCTTTCCTAAAATAGTTGTATTTAACATATCTAACCATTCTGACGTAGTAGATACTTCTCGGATGCAGCTTGACTGTGACTGGTCGGCGCTTTGCCATCTTTCAGAGGGTTGCTGCTGGTTCAAAGGACTCAATCTACGGATATCACAAGCGAGAAATCTTACAAGGACCTTTCCAGGTTTCTTGGCCACTTCCCAGCAATGTGAATAAGGATAACGTTTGCGCCGAATTCCTGTAAGCTAGTTGTTTTTACTTATCCATAACCCTTCATAATGATCTTGGGTTTCTGTTCTATGGCCCACCACATGAATATTCAGAGAGTTTAAATTCCACTTTTCATAGAAAATGCACATTGGCTCTAACTATTGATAACTACCCAGGCATCATATAGGTGTGAAACCGCTAACACGCAGTGTGTTTGCTTTGGAGCAGGAATGGACTTCTAAGAATCGTGATCCCTAAGCTTTGAGGTTGTTCATGGAGGAACCGAAAGGGCATCGCGTATGTATGTATATATATACTGTTTGTGTCAGTATAATCGAGGTAATGTATACAAGTTCCTTAGTGTTGATGCAGTGTTAAATGTCTCAAATGTAAACAGAAAACAATTCAGAAGATATTTTATTAAACGAATCAAACTAATACTACCGAAAACATTTTAAAAGGAAGATCGTCCTAGGTGTATCGATCATGTGGAAACTCCAAATTACCATTGGATCGTCGAGTCAGATCAGTGCATTAGGCCACTGAGTAGGGAATGCCTTAGGATCATCACGGTTGTAGTCGTAGAGCATCTGAGAATGGTCATAGTTTAGGGTATCCGTTGCATAGAATACTGCGGTAGGAAAGCAAACCTGCCTGACCGGCGTTTTGGATCAACATCCCTTTGGAATTCACGGTAGGACGAGTTGGAACGACTGGTCTACTCACCCCGTAGATAAACCCTCTGGCTTCCTTGGCATCCAAGCAAAGCTCGTTCATCCTGATGAACACTAGGGCAGTTAGCAAACTGTCCGAACCTGCGTTATGGGCAGCTCCCACGCGTCGAATCCGTAGCTTCTGAGCCAATTTCTCTAACCCTAGATGACAGCCGAGCCATTTGTATTCACCGGCCATAACCTTCAGGTCGTAGACCACGCCGAAAACCCTTCCGACAACATCTGCAAACTCCTCGGGAGTGTCCGGAAGCATAGCTGGAAACCTCTGTCCCTTGTTGAGGACACTGATCACATAAGCCAGATCGTAAGTCCCGTGGAAAGTGACCCATTGGATGTTCTCTTCATGGCTCAACATGCAGAAGAACTTGGGGAAAAACGAGTGCTGGAACATGTCGATTCCCTCTTCCCTGATCTTCTTCAAATCAAGACCGTGTCTCTCCAAGAAATCGATCGCTTCCTCGTTGCGTGTGTCCGAAGGTCCTCCAAAGTTGGAGAAGTTAACCTCCCAAGTGCCACCGATCTCTCCTCGGTCGTTGAACAAAGTGAAGCCGAACTGAATCAGTTTGGTGGCTTCAACATTGATCTTCATGTTTCTGTATATCAAGTCCTCGGAGGCGTATCTCGGCGTCCACAACAGAAAACCCGGAAACTCAGTGTCGAAAGCCACCATCGGGAATTTCTTCAGACGAACCCTCACCCGATCCATCTCTTCGTCCACGTTTGATCTCCACACTCCCCTGATTTCAAGCATCTTCCGACGATTTCCCGATCGAAAGCCAGCGATTTCCGAGACGGGTCCGAGGAAAGTTTAGGTTTTTCCGGAGGAGAATTTGCAGGAACACGGAATCGCGGCGGGATCAGTTAGGGTTTTGTCGGGCTTATAAAGGCGAGAAGGAATCAAACTGTGTACGTACGTAGTGAGGTAAAAATCTATTTCCTTTTTTCTCGATTATTTTTGTTTTCCTTTTTTTTTTACGTGTCTTCCAATTAAACCCTTGAGTTCGTTCTACAGTTATATAGTCGGTTTTAATTTGTTGGGATTTCCTTTTTTCGAAAAATGGAAACTTTTACTTTTTCCGATGACACCTACGTAAGGTTTCAGAAATGGCAATGCGTGCGCGGGTGGAGTAATGTATTAATAATTGCAAATATTTGCAACAGATTAGAGACATTTATTTTTTTCTTGATAAACGATTAGAGACATTTATTGTTAATTATAGTTTGTTTTTGCGATTTATTTAATTAATTACCCCTACAATGGAGGCTGAAGGGTGTTAGTTATTAGGGTTTCGAAAAAGTTCTAATCTTTTGTGTTTTTTTTTTATATTGGTGATTGTCGAAGCGGAATTCGAATATAGGAGGATATCATTTTGTGATCCCACACCACCGGACCGGACCACCAAGCAGTTATCAGGGAAAAAAAGATTTGACTTTTGTTGTATGTGTTAATGGGATTCAGAAAAAGTTGTAATCTTTTGTTGTGGGTGTTGATGGAATTTAAAAAAAAAATTATTTTTTTGCCATGCACGCAAGGTGTTCGACATGATACTGGAATGAGGATTTTTCATGGCGAGAAACGTCACGGAGATTCTGCGTCTCCAAATCGCTTCTGATTCACCCATTCCCTTGTTTTCAGTTGTATGGAAAGCGACGCTTCAAGAGCCAAAAGACCCACCCTGTTCTCGAGAAACTTTCTCAAAGAGAGACAAGACCAGACCTTATCAATGCGAATCCATGGGCTGATGCTAAATGTGTGTCCGCCCTTGAGTTTCTATCTTCCTCCAGGCTGTGGTAGAAGCTCCATCTCAACCATGGCTGCCCGCTTCTTTTCTGCGGATGTGCCATCACATATACGCAGGCCCCTTTTGAGGTTAACCTGTGCTGCCATGGAGAGAATTTGGCGCCATGTGCAAGTTTGCTGGTTGTCGTTGTTGTTAACAGGTTGGCTAGACTCTTGTGTATGTCAGTATCCAAGTCACTCCGGCTTCATGTCATTTTCAATGTCTGGAGGGAACTCCGGCTGCCAGATGATTTTGAGGACTCAGTGATTTCGAAAAAATCGTGTTCAAGAGCTTGACTGAAGAAGCAACGGGAATCCGATTTTGGAGATGCCGTTGAGAAACGCAGAGTGTTGTAGAGAGGATTGCAGCTTGGATAGAACTGAGATCCAATTTCGCTTCAAACACGGTTTACTCACCAGGAATGAGATTGAGCAACAACCTGAGGTCTGAGGCTACCTTACATCGATCGGGCCATACGAGGACATGGCCGAAATGAGAAAGAGCAAGGCCGGGATTATGGCACGAGAGAAAAGAGCGGTTGCGGATTTGAACATGAAGGAACACTCCAACCTTCACATTTTCCCAAAGAGATGAGATATTACCGAGCACGAATCGGATTAGATTAAGCAAAAACTCACTGATGGGGAAACCTTGAAATTGAACGTAAAGCAGTGAATCCTCCATACTACATTCTAAGAACATGAAAACATGAACAGGGGACAAGGTCAGAAGCAAGTTCATTCAGGCACAACGGTGACTTTGTTTCAGAGGCTTGCTTGTTTCTGTGTTAATTGTCTTCGGACGTAAAGAATGGAGCAAAGGAGTCCTAAATCCAAAAACACGCAAAGTTATCTTTACATACCTTTTTTTTCGTTCACAAGATCCAATAAGCAAAAAAAAAAAAAAAGGGGGCCGAATCGAAATATTCGATGGCAGTAAAAGAGAACTAACTTGTTTGCGAAAGCAGTCTTTGGATTCAATTACAAATCAAAAGGAAAAGAACTCAAGACTGTTAAAATGCTTACATATTTCCTGCACATAGAAACATCCCCACCCCCACCTGTCTGAATCTCTCCATAGCATTTCAGGCATTGCCTGTGTTCTCCCCCACCAACTTCCTCTTTGTTTCTTCCGTCAAAATCCACCACCAAGTCTTCTTTTCGCCACACACAATCCACCATCTGTTGCCAATGGTCGTCGCAAGAACATTTATTAGATTTTGTCAAAAGCCTTTGCAAAGAGATAAAGGAGAAAAACTCTAAGAAGGCAATGGGGGAAAAAAACCTGGCAAAAAGATTCGGATTCAAACTCAAAAGGCATCCTCGAGTTCTCTCATGGAAAAGCTTGAAGCCTCGGATGCTTCTGCTAGCGATTCAATCATGCTGGTCACTTCAGAGCTGTCGTCCACGTAATACTTGGCCTTGCTCGGCTTTTGCCCAACCGTGCAAGCAAAGACTAGAGCATTTTCAAACAGAATTCCCTTCGACTTTGCGTTACCTATGGCTTCAAACATGTCTTCATCAGATCGATCATCCCCTATACACAGCACGAAATCAACTGGCTCCTCCTTTTCGGCCATTGTTGTGAAAATCTTCTCTGCCACAGATCCTTTGCTAACACCCTAAGCATTTTTGCATTGATAAGATTCTTCGAACATGAAAAAAGCTAAAAGCCGAAGCCTTTGTGTGTGAACAAAGCTATAAGAAAAAAGGAAAAAGACAGGTAAATTACCTGAGGCTTAACTTCCACAATGTAGTGGCCACTTTTAACAGCAACAGGCTCATTAGCCAGAACATTCTCTAAGTGCTCTAACATTTCCTTCGCCTGTAAAGACCCAAAGCCGGGATCTGCATCTCGATATTGCCAAACCAAAGCGCTCTCTTTAGGTTCAACTGCTGAATACTGTCTCATTACAGGTTCCACAATCTGCATCCAACCAAAGTCCGTACTCTGACCACATGTTTCCCATTCTTCATTTTGGGACCACCTGAGCACAAGACATTAACCGTGTTATTTATTGAGAAGAGACGATATCACATAGCACAAAATACGGATGAGGTAAAGGGTTTCGAAGGGACCGACAAATCTACCAAAAAAAAGAAAATTTTAACACGTTAGACATAAAAAAACCTAGAGAAAAAGTACCTCAAGAAGTATCCATGCTCAGCTGCAATTCCAAGGTTTTTGCACGGAGAAAACCACTTATCTAAACTGTCCCTCCCTCTTCCACTGACAATGAAGATGCTGTTCTTCGGGTCGGCACAAAGTGCATTTAATATGTTGATAACTTCCCGGCTGGGGGCCTTATTGATGGAGTTCTGTGGCATCAAAGTACCATCATAATCCAACAATATAGCCCTACTTTTTGCCCTTTTGTAATCCGACACAATGCAAGGTATTGAAAGCTTTCTGAAATTGGGATCCAATGCCACAACCCTGAAACCGAAGCTAATGCCCATCCCCCAACACCGTTTCTTGAAATGGTCCGCACATATCCTCTCCAAGTCTTGCAAAAAACTTCGGGACCAATAAGCTACATCATGGATACTAACATATCGGAAATGTTTTTCATGTCGCAGCTGTTTCTCGGGATCACCCATTGAGATAGCCTCGTTTAATGCCTCTGCAGTGGCTTCAACATTCCAAGGATTAACACGTAGAGCCCCACTTAGTGAAGGAGAACACCCGATAAACTCTGATGCAACCAGCATACTTCTCTTTGGACCGCAGAAATCTGATTCCGAGTCAAGCAAGCCGTGTCGACATACAATATATTCATAAGGAGTGAGATTCATACCATCTCTAACGGCTGTGACGACTACACACTCGGCAATATTGTAATAGGCAACCTTTTCACTAATTGGAACCGGGGTATCAATATACACAATGGGTTGATATCCAGGTTCTCCAAATTCTTCATTGATCCTCCTGCAACTTTCTTGTATTTCAGCACATGTTTCCACCATATTGATTCCTTTACCCCTAACAGGATTTACAATCTGGACCAGGACAGCCCTTCCCCTCCATTTTGAATGTAGCTTAAGCATCTGTTCCATGGCTAGAAGCTTCAAATTAATACCCTTGAAAATATCCATATCATCGATACCCAGCAACACCGTCCTACCTTCAAACCGCTTTTTGAGCTCTCTCAACCTACCTTCCTCTTCTGAGAGTCCCATCACTGATTGTATACGAGACATGTTGATCCCAACAGGCATGATCTTGATTCCTACAGTCCTTCCAAAATATTCAAGCCCTATGTAGCCTCTCTTAGATTGATATTCCAGACCCAACATCCGACTACAACAAGCAAGGAAGTGACGGGCATAATCAAATGTGTGGAAACCAATGAGGTCACTATTGAGCAAAGCCTTGAGTATCTCTTCGCGAACAGGAAGACTCCTGTATATCTCGGATGAGGGGAATGGACTGTGGAGAAAAAACCCCATTCTTATTCGATTAAAGCGTCTTCTCAGAAATGTTGGTAGGACCATCAAATGGTAGTCATGTATCCAGACATAGTCATCATCTGGGTTTATAACCTCAATTACTTTCTGGAAGAACAATTTATTCGCAGCAACATATGCCTCCCAAAGAGACCTTTCGAATCTGCCTCCATGATCTGCTGAAAAGGGAAGCATGTAATGGAAGAGTGGCCATAGTTGCCTCTTGCAAAAACCATCGTAAAACTTTGATTGCAAATCAGGTGGGAGAAAGGTCGGAACACATTTAAATCTATCCAACAGTATCTGCGCCACATCATCTTGCTCATTAGGGTCCACATCAACACCCAAGGATCCTACATATAATATCTCCATATCCTCCGGCAAACCATCCTTGAGCTGCAAGTACAGTGAATCCTGGTTCCAACTGAAACTCCAGCTTCCATTACGCCTCTCTGCCTTCAAGGGAAGCCGATTAGCCACGATAATCATTCGGTCTGTGGGAATGGAGGACGGGTTATCAGATGACACACTATAGGCCTGATCTTCATCAAGTTCACACACATTACTGGGGACTGTCATTACCCTTGGAAGCCGTCTCCGTTCTCTTCCCATAACAGGGAAGTTCCCTGATGCCAAGTCTAACAAATTGGTATACGACCTAGAAATCATCTTCTAAAGTCTCTAGAGACAAAAGAATTCCAGAATCTCTTTCGACAAATGAATCACTTCAAAAAATCTGCACCAACCAATCAGCTAAACTCTTGACCAGATGAATCACTTCAACAAATCTGCACCAACCAACTGGCGAGAGAAACCCCAAATGCAGGAATGAAAATCTACACGAGAAGAGGAAGAAGAAAAATCAGTATTTCCGGTGAACGAAAACCAAATCGAGGGTAACCATAGCAGTACCGAAGAAATCAAAACCTGCCAAAAATTCACAACATTCACTGATCTTCTTCTAATACTCGGCTAAAAAACCGAACTTTCTACGCAAAGGATCGAACAAATGACAAAATATATCATCCAAAAGCAAGATCCCTGAGATTGAAACCCAAAAAAAAAAAAAAAGAACAACATTGGCAGAAGAAAATGAATCGCATTTCAGGTACCAAAATCTGAATCGGAGCGATTCGATCCTCCCAATTCAGCAAACATAAGGAAGGAAACCGCAAATGAGCAAATTGAAACGCAAATTCGAAAGAGCTTCTAGGCATCTGGACTCACCTTTTCACCTCCTCGCGAGAGAGGAATCCGATCTTTCCACACAAAATGAATGCGAAAAATTAATCTAGGGTTTATATGAAAAACACAAAAAGAAATAAAGGAAAATTCTCGGTTTCCAGCCTTACATACGTACATTTTGCAAAATATCACAAATGCCCCTATACTCTTAAAAATAAACTTACATGATCTTAATATAATCAAAATATTCATACAGATCCTTCAAATTTATGAAGTTGGGCCTTTTATGTTATAATATTCATACTTTTTTTTATCATATATATTGATATTACTATAGTTGGTTAAATACACAAACAACATAAAAATTTGCATAATGCGTTCAAATATTCAATGGCGTTTAATGGGAAATTTAAGGAGATTTATTTATTTATTTATTTATTTATTCATTTGAGTTTAATACTAGATGGCGAAATCTTGTAGAGATTCAACATTTTTTTTTTTCCAGATTTAATCAATCAAAGCAACCGATAATAGGGCGTTTAACGTTTTCTTAATAAAGAGCCAAAAGTGTTATACAATTAATAATATAAGGGTATCTTTTGCAATTTAACATAAGCTCGTACGTATAGCGATCGTACGTCGTGTATTATGGAACGTCATGGATACGAATCTCGAAGAGAATATAAATTTTCCATTTTATTAGATTTTTTCAAAAAAATAATTCGTGATTTACTGGTCAATTCAGAGGTTCACCAAGATTATTTTAAAACACACAACCGTCACGGAGTGGGAAGACGTTATCCGTACTTGACAGCCAATAAGATTGGTCGACGTGAAAGTAAACGTGACAGACATGTGGTATTAGCGTTTGCCCGATTAGAAATTTTGGATAAGGCTAATAGACAGCCGGCGACGCACTAATGCCAGCTGGCAAATGGGTGGAGATAAAATCACGCGCCTAGAAAGCGCGTGGAATGCGCGGGGATTACACGTGATGCAGAAAAACAACGTGAGGACGCGTGACGCTGTGGGGGTCTGCCGTCTGCTAAGACCGAGTGACCAAACGAACGTGTCTTGAACCTGCAATGTGGACCCCTACATGACACGTGTCCGAACAGGGATCGTTTCTAGAGTGAGGTAGGTGTACTTGTACCGGAGTTTTTGGTTTTTGGTTTGGATTTATCAGTGGAACCAAAATCAAACCGGAAAATAATAGAGACAAAAAAAATGTTTGTGATTTTTTAGTTGAATTTATTGTTATTTTTATTTAAAATTTTTACAAACGACTACTATCATATTTGGATAAATTTTTTTGCGATTCAAATATTCTAAAGATAAATGTATTTTTGGATGATACTTTGATAGAATACTATTTTTAAAAATAAAACGGTCATTTAAATAAAAATGAAGAACCCTCATTTAAATAAAAATGAAGAGTGTGATGGAAATTAATCATTATTTGAATTATGGCTCTGTAGTTGTATATAAATATATATATATATATATATATATATCAAGGTTTGCATGTACAAAACTATATATTTGCATTATACGGAAAAAAAAACGATCATTTTAAAAATCTTTACTGTTTTAATTTGTATGCTGTTCGACTTTTGTTTGGGATATTATTGAAAGAGCATTTTAAAATTTAATTCTTTTGAACTGTGCTTAAAACTCTGTTTCAACACATCAAGAACCCTCATTTCCTCTTCAAACGGTTTCCGAGCTAATCATGGACATCAGCGAATCCATTGTCGCGAGATTAAAACAAAAGGGTGATTAGATTTCCTAAACGCAGAACCAGAAGAATCCCGGAAGAAACAGCTGTTTTTTTTTTCTTGTATTTTTTTGGGTTGAATCAGGAGAAAGTGTGATCGAGTAGGCATCGTTTCATGGCTGGGTACAAACCCGATGGTCTTGATCGGTGACTCAGGTGTGGGAAAGTCGAACTTGCTCTCTAGATTTACGAGGAACGAGTTCAATCTAAAATCCAAGCCAACTATCGGTGTTGAGTTCGCGGCCAGAACTCTTAAAATCGATGGTAAGGTTAACAAAACTCAGATTTGGGACAACGCTGGTGGTATGATAAATTTCATGTGTTTTGTCTTCTGAATTTATGGGTTTTCTTCTACTTTTGCTGAAATCGTGTGTATGGGTTAGGTTGTGATTGTTATGGTGCTGTTGTGTTAGATTTATTAGATCAGTTAGGGTTTTCAGAATCATGTGTTTGGTGGTTTATTAGATGTGAACTCATGTGTTTGTTCATGTTTGGTCTGATGAGGATGTGTTGTCTGGGTTTTGACTAGAATGTACTACAGTCTTATGCAAGTTTTGAGTTATTGGTGTTTGATCATGTATCTGAATTTCTCAATTTCTAGATTGCCTTGACTCTTTTTGCATATGGGTTTCAGATTTCCAGTGATTTTGTGGTGAAAAGATCATAATTTGTCAAACAAGTCAGAGTGTTCTGCAGTGTTATGCAAGTTTTGAGTCATTTGTGTTTGGTCATGTGTCTGAATTTCACATATTTGTAGCTTGTCTTGACTCTTTTTGCATATGGGTTTCCGATTTCCAGTGATTTTGTGGTGAAAAGATCATAATTTGTCAAACAAATTAGGATTTTTATGTTTGGAAACTTTGAATTGTTTTGTTGATTCTCCTCTTGTTTGATCAAGCTGGGAACTATTACAGTCCAAGTGATGTCAGTCAGGTTTTTAGCCCATTTTTCGTGTGCGAGTTTCCCCCTTACCAGCTAGAATGGCTTGTATTAGAACCCGGGTTCTCGTGCTGGCTTTTTCAGAACAAATCTTATGGTGTTTGCATCAGTGATTCCTCTCTAGTCATGAGTTGAATCAGTTTTTTAGAAGTCACCAATGTTTCTCAGTGCCTTACACTTGAAAATCTCGTCTTCCGTCTCTTATGCAATGTTTATATACCTTCCTGCCTTCGGACAATTCGGATATCCAACCAACCGCAATGCCTTTAACAGTTTGCTATGTTGCAGTAACACTTGCTTAAATCTTGTGATGTCTCTTGTATATATGTCTGCTTGATCTTCTGATACACCCATCTCAGAGATTTGCCATATCTTTTCAGTCCTCCACTTGGTTGTACATATCGTCTTCTCCACATGTTCCAACGATTTTCATCTAAGCTTCATTCTTGTATGCTTCCATGGCGCCTCACAGCCTGTTGCACATGTAAAGGAAACATAACCTGCATTTTGATTGCAGAAAGAGTGTAGGATATCATATCTGTATACTGGGATAATGTTTTTTTAGATGTATACACACAAAAAATGGGACAAGAAAACTCTGTTCTTCATTTCTTGTCTGGTCATTAACCACACCCCTAGAACTCTGAAACCTCTGACAGATGCCGAACAAGGCAACAAGTGTGCATCTTCTTCACCCTTGTGTCAGTCAAAACAGAAGACGGGAAAGCGTTTGACAAGATAGATGGAATCACTCTGTTTCATGGAGAGGCTTCAGCTTTGGATGTCAACCAACGGTTGAGGGAAGCCTTCACTGAAGTGCCTTGTTCAGATTCACAACGCCGAAGGGGCTGGCTGCTTCATCTGGTTTGCCTTCTAAAGGGGAGAGAGAGAGAGAGAGAGAGCATAAACGTTACAGAACAAAGACAGGTCTCTAACTCTGCTCATGAGATTCAGTTCCTGTTCTAATTAGACATGTGATTTGATATTGTGGGATTTGGGTTTTGTGTACATAATTATTTTTTGTATAAAATGATTTTACTTTCTTGTTTTAAATTTTAGAGAAGATTCTAAAAAATAACCGAATTTAGAGTTTTTATGTTAATATTTTTGTAAGTTCAGTGTTGGATTTCTTTTTTAGAATTTTATTAACCGGTTGGTGAATAATTATACTATTATAGTGGATTATGGTTTAGGTAAATTATTTTAATTTGAAATATATATATATATATATATATATTATATTTAAAATCTACTTTTTTGTTTTTAGATATTTTATTTGAAATAATTTGGCAAATAAAATTATTTTTACTGCTTACCTTGGTAAACTGTAGAAGCTTCCGGAATATATCTACTATAATTGTATGTAATGATGATGGATAACCAAAAGGGTAAACACAACTTGGCTCAGATATGGATTATCTACACTAATTTTCTGATTATATTATTATAAGATTATTATTACCTTAATTAACTTTTCATCTGTGCCACAGGTTTTTTTTCAAAATTGACCAACGATGACAGCACAGGGTCAAATCAACAGAATATTCCATATAAATATACAATTATTCTATATCCAGGGATTGAAAGGAAAAATTATATATTTATATATATAATTCATAAAAAAAAGTAAAAACAATAAAAGAAAAATACAAAAATAAATAAAACAGATTTTGTATTTATTGATTTAACCTCTTACGCATATCGAGGTAGTTGGGTGATCTTGCGGCTCATTCGTCCTTTACCTGCACACTTGGGACGTTTCGCTGCTTCTGCAGCTCCCTATAAAAGCCCCTCAGGTCCTTTTTTGTTTTCATCTCTTTTATTCAGCACAGAGAGAGAGAGAGAGAGAGAGAGAGATGGCGATGGCGGTGGCGATCAGGAGGGCGGGGTCGACGGCGAGTATGCGGCGGATCACGGCCGGTGTCGGCCTGAGATCCATGTCCTCATGGTGGCGAAGCGTCGAGCCTGCTCCTAAGGATCCGATCCTCGGAGTTACCGAAGCTTTCCTCGCCGATCCTTCTCCCGACAAAGTCAATGTTGGTGTGGTGAGTTTCTCTCTCTGGATTATCTGCCTTCCCGTAGTTCTGGATCGTTTGTTTGTTCCCCGGGAAATGGCGGAGAGGAATTGTAAATTGCTTTAGGGATGATCTATGAGCGCTTATGTGGAGGTTGCATGCAAAGATAATGCCTTGCAAATGTTGGAAATGAGAGCAGGCGAAGTGTTGATTTTAGGATTTTTGTTCAGTATGCATCTGAATCCATAGGTGGTAAATTGGCATCGCGGATCAAAAGGAATTTGATTACCACTTCTGCTAATCAATGAGAGACCCTTCACGGGTTATTCACTGGTAGGAAAAAGCAAAACAAAAAAAATTGAAAGTTTCAGGAGTTATATTGAGGATTCAGTGTTCTGATTTTTGTTCTGGTTGATGAAGCTATTGGTGTTTACTTGTTTCATCTTCTTGAAACCGATTATCACTTAGGGGGCATATCGCGATGACAACGGCAAACCTGTTGTGTTGGATTGTGTAAGAGAAGCCGAGCGAAGGATTGCTGGGGCTTCGTATATGTAAGATTGCTGCTTTCTTTCCCTTACGCTTCTGTCGATTGCCATGTATAATTATTGATTGTCTAGTTTCTTCTACTTGTGCAATGGTGAGAGTTTCTGAGGTAGAAAATCATTTGCGAGCTTGGCTGGATTTGCTCATAGCCTTTAAGATGTTGGAGGTGCCTTTATTATCGTGTTAAATATTTATTATGCAAGAGATGCTTATCTTGCTCTCTTCTTTTATTCCTTCTGAGATCAGAATAATTACTTTATTCGTAAACTGGGCTGGTGAGTGGTCCCTCTTTGCCAGTGCTATCTGTGAACAGAATTCCACTCATTTTACTCTGTTTTTTTTATATCTTCAATTACCCTTTTCTCTTTTTGTTGTCATCTTAGTGTTGACGCTTGAAACAATGTTTCTTTGGATGATCTTATTTTCTCTAGTTGTATGTTCTGTGACCTAATTTTCTTAGCATATTAGGGCGGACCCATTGTCTCATGTTATTATGCTCATATATGAATCATGTTCAAAAGATCATCAGTGTCCTCAATTTTTTCCCATTGTGCTGTTTCACTGGACTGATTGGAGTTATTTTTTGTTGCCTTAATCGATTAAAGGGAGTATCTCCCTATGGGAGGGAGTGTCAAAATGGTGGAGGAAACATTGAAGCTGGCCTATGGGGATAATTCTGAGTTTATCAAAGACAAAAGAATAGCTGCAATTCAGTCTCTCTCGGGAACTGGTGCTTGCCGAATATTTGCAGACTTTCAGAAACGTTTTCGTCCTGAATCACAGATCTACATTCCTGTGCCAACCTGGTCCAAGTGAGTTTCTAATAGTTAGATTTATTATTCCTTACCATGTGCAATGACATCCGGTTTTCTAATCCACAATTCCATTCTTGGTATTTTATATAAGAGAAATGCTCTAGTGTTTTTCCAATTAGCTATAGCTTACATCAACCTTTGTCATCAGCCACCACAATATTTGGAGAGATGCTCAAGTCCCTCAGAAAACATATCATTACTATCATCCAGAAACCAAGGGTTTGAACTTCTCGGCATTGATGGATGATGTAAAGGTAAGCAAGAACGACTTCATCGAATCTGGTGCATTAGTTACTTCTGTCTCTTCTACTGCATTTCTTGTATGCAACATCTTAATCCTGTAATGTATTTTTTCATAGGATGCTCCAAATGGGTCGGTCTTTCTGCTCCATGCTTGTGCTCATAATCCTACTGGGGTAGACCCAACAGAAGAACAATGGAGAGAGATATCACAGTTGTTCAAGGTATGGGCTCGGCAATTTTCCATAGCTATTTTGTCTAATTTTCATTCTTTTTTCTCTTCTTCTTGATCTCTCTGGCATAGACTAATGGCGAGCTGTCATTTCAGGTTAAAGGTCATTTTGCCTTCTTTGATATGGCATACCAAGGTTTTGCTAGTGGTGATCCAGAGAGAGATGCCAAGTCCATCAGAATCTTTCTGGAGGACGGTCACCAAATTGGAATTTCTCAATCATATGCAAAGAACATGGGACTGTATGGCCAGAGGGTAGGATGCCTCAGGTAATTATCTCTTTCTTCAATTCTTATTCATCAGAAACTTCTTTTGGGTAAGTTTCTCATATTCCAAGATACTAATCCTTAATGAGGCTCCAAGGAATGGAAGATAGGCAGACTTTTAAAATGTTTCTTGTACGCGGCTGAATTACTTTTCCACAAGATCATGCATGAAGTATTTTTTTTTTAAATAGAAAAACACGTATATGGTTGGATTTTCCATCCGCAATTGCCATCCAATAGCCTCTCTACCTGAGAAGAGAATACATTGTTTTTTCATGGTATCTGATGATTAAATTTCAATATTTTATCTGCCATCATATTGAATTGTATAACATGGCGACACTGACTGATATACATTTAAAGTTACAATTTAAGAAGGGAAAAAAAAAGAGAAAGCGAGAGAGGTTAATGTGAATGGGTGTTGAATGGCAGTGTGCTTTGTGAAGAAGAGAAGCAAGCGGTGGCTGTGAAAAGTCAGTTGCAGCAGCTGGCGAGACCTATGTACAGCAACCCACCTCTGCATGGTGCCCTCATCGTCTCTACCATCCTCGGAGACCCTGAGTTGAAGAGCCTCTGGCTCAAGGAAGTCAAGGTAACACCTTATCATGTTCTCCAGGTTCCGAGCATCAATCTGCTTCAGTATATATCATGCCGTAAAATCTGTTTTCAAAAACAAATATGGGTTTTGGCTGTTATGTTTTTTTCTTTGGGAATATTTAACAAAGTTGGGGGATATATGATAATGTATGAAAATGAGCAGGGGATGGCGGATAGGATAATAGGAATGAGGAGCGAGCTGCGTGAAAACCTGGAGAAGATAGGGTCACCTCTATCATGGGAGCACATCACGAAGCAGATAGGGATGTTCTGCTACAGTGGGCTAACACCAGAACAGGTGGACCGAATGACAAAGGAATACCACATCTACATGACCCGCAATGGCCGTATCAGGTACTCTCTCTTCGAGTTTGCCAATTGAGATTTTGGCTACTACTAATAATAATAATAACAACATTGGAACGATGTATGCGTGCGTTTTGCAGCATGGCGGGGGTTACAACAGGCAACGTCGGCTACCTTGCCAATGCCATCCACGCCGTCACCACCACCGATTCTTCTTAACTGAGAGAGAAAGGTAGATGACGTTGTGAATTGGGAAAATGCGATCTTGGAGAGTCAAATAAAAGACCAGGTGGTACACATATATTACCGTCTCTATTCTTCTGACATCATCCATCGGCAGCCCTCCAATAAGATTATAACATTTTTTTTTTCCCTAAATTTCTGTTGACGCCATAATCGTGCAAATGGCAAATGCTGATTTTGCACTTAACTATATGCCTTTTAGTGCTTTGAATCCATTTCGCACTTGCCTTTTTTTTCTTTTAATCATCGGGTTTTGCCTTCCTTTTGTGTGATATATCAATTTGGAGATACGACAATTAGACATAATAATGATTCAATTTCACCATTGTATCGTCTGCTCCGAAGGGAGAGAGATTGTCTTCAAATGTTGGCGACCAAAAACATAATAATATACAAGAAAAAGAAAATGCAACGAGAAACTTTTTGAGTGTCTTACATATGATCAAGGGGGAACAAAAAGAGGTAATAATAGAAAGAAAATAATCGAACTCTCCCGATTCTCTCGTGTGCTGAATGCCACGCGCAAGGGAGAGCATCATCATCATTCATCATTCATCATTCATCATTCATCATTCATCATCGTCCTTTCTATCTCTCTCTTTCGATACGTTTGCCGTCTAAGGAGCTGTTGCCTGAAATGGAAAGGCACCGTTCATCTGCCGCCTCACGTGCTCTGGTATTAGCCTGCTTATCAGCTCCGTCGATGCTCCCCCCAACTGTTTTTTATTTTTTGTACCATCCATTTTAAAAAAAAAAACGACAACAAAGTTTCTCTTGGACGTGTTCATTGCTTTAGCCTTGTGAAACAACAACGAAGAAAACAAATATATGTAGTTTACCTCTTGTCTGAAGTTGAACAGAGATGGCAATGGACGACCGTTTGGAAGTCGGGCATTTGGCTCCCGGAGCTCGTCGAAGAATGGATGAGCGCATGCTTCGAGCTTAAGAGCAAAAAAAAAAGATTTATTAAGCATCGTCGGTAATAGAAGAAAGCTGAATGCTCTATGAAGTATCCCAAAGATTTATTTCTGGTTCAGAAATACTGACCGCAGTGCAGCGTAGACTTGGTGAATATTGAAGAAGCCGAGACGTTAGATCTATTGCTTCCGGAGGCATTCGTTTATGGAAAACCTAAGTCATCGACCACCACATGTATTTTTTTTAGTTAATAAGCCAGAAAGTCATATATATGTGGTTGTCCTCCCACTTGTGATACCAACTTATAGATCGAGGACAGCCCCAAAATATTGTTTTAGCTTCACAGATTATGCTTCGATCTGGGACAAAACAGAGAAAAAAAAAACCCTGAGATGCATAATACCTTGTGCCATGGGTGAGCTTTAATTTGCGGGAATCTAAAATCTGTGTAGTTTGGATTCATGCATCTGATTTCTTCCCGAGTAGGAGTACCAAGAACCTAAAAAACAAGGCAGCATGCGTTGCGACACTCTTTTAGATTATTTGGAATCTGATATAACACACTGACAAATGAAGTCCTCTCATAAACTATAGTGAAGGAGGGAGTCACCTTTATGATCTCTACCAGCTGGTCCACTGAATTTTCTCCCGGAAACAATGGCTGCAAGGAGAGGATGACATAAATGTGATGATTAGGAGAGAAACAGCAATGATCATAACATTATTACAGATAACAATTATCCACACTAACCTGACCAAGAAGAAGTTCTGCCAGAACACAGCCAGCAGACCACATATCTATGGAGGATGTGTACTCTGTCGCCCCAAAGATTAGTTCCGGAGCTCGGTAATATCGAGAGCAGATATATGATATGTTTGCTTCACCTTTGACCTAATGTGAACACCCAAACATGCATATTCATTATGTTTGATGTTGAGAAAACACAACCAGGCAGACCCATAGAGATATGTAAGTTGTTTCTGAGAAAATAATATAAACAGTTAATAACGATTCTCACGGTAAGAGAGTTCATAATTTATTGACGTATTTGGACACAAGAATTTGCAGCTGAAAGAAAGTCATAAGAAAACCAAGTGGGTTCTGCCTTGTGTTGAAAAGAATAGCAGCTTCAACTGCTGCATGCACTGCAAATACTATGCATGCCAAACAAACAAGTACGCAAAAATGAATACCAAAACAGAAACGAGAGAGTGGCCCCCTTACCAAAACTTTTGCACTGCCAAAATCGCATAGCTTAACCTGGTGGGTAAGAGGATCAACCTGCAGATTGCATCTGAGAATTAGATTTCAAAGCTAGTCAAGGTTACCAAAGATGCAGCAAGATATAATGAATTACCAGAAGATTTTGTGGCTTCACATCTCTGTGGCAAACACCAGGAACAGTATGGATATAGGCCAAACCTCTGAAGATCTGCAACGCACGTTTTCTAAACATGATCAGAATCAGCATTAAGGAGAGGGAGTATTTACAAAGAAAACCGTAAGTGATATTCCGTACTTGGTATGTGTAAAGTTTGACATAGAAAATTGGCATTCTCTGATTTGAACCAGTATAGTGCCTCAGAACCCGGTACAAAGTCTCAGGAACATACTCCATAACAAGATTGAGGAAGAGTTCATCTCTACTTGTCGTGGAGAAAAAACAATGCTTCAGCGAGACCACATTTGGATGATCCATTAGTCGCATTAACTGCAACTCACGGTTTTTATAGCGCCGGTCTTGCAAGACCTTCTTAATGGCGACCGATTCCCCGGTTTCCAAGCATTTTGCCTGAAAAAGGTAATTTGGTGAGTCGATCAAAGTGATAGAGATAATCCATGGTTTACAAATGCTAGAAGTAAGAAGCACATAGTTAATTACCTGGAAAACAATTCCAAATGATCCTGTACCAACAACCCGTTCAGCCATGTAACTAATGGTCTGTAATGGGCCAGGAGGAGAAAACCATAAGAAAGGAAATTATCTCTCAAAGAAAAAGAAAGAAAGAGAAATGAACGAAGTTCACATATACGTCTTTAATTTATATTTTATGGTGTAGCACTTGCTAAACATGTCGATGCTTCCCATAAGAAGAAAAGAAAAGAAGTAGCCATTTTAGTATGGTAATCATGCACACATTAATGATTATGAAAATCAAAAGCATTAAATTCTGTTTTGAATGATAAAAATAAGTTAAACAAACACCAGATCGGTGATAAAGATTTCAGACTCTAACCCGCTTAGGTTCACCATTTTTGCCTCCAATGGTAGTGGAAATGATATGACCAGTAACAGCATCATTTCCCTCGATAACAGCAGATGACATTTCCTGCAATCATACTTGAATGTATTATTATACACATTAAACTTGGCCCGTTTACAACGCGCTGCAAGGAAGCCTCATCAACATTTACTGATTTCCCTTATTTGAAGCCCCACCCCCAAAACAAAAGAAACTAAACCCTATTCTAAAACTTCAATGAAGCGCTATGTTTCTTCTCAAATAACACACACACACATATACATATATATATAACCACATTGTAAGTCAACCAAAGCTTATGGTTCTGGCATGTATCAATCAAACAACAGCTAAGCCAGTACAAATGAGATGCATGAAAAAAGCGAAAACCTGCAAAAGATAATCATATATAACGCATAACATATACGAAAACGGAAACATGGAAACGGAATAACAAGGATAGATGTCAATAACACTCTTTGTCGACAGTTTAAATGTCGTAGTGTGGAACAAACTGAAACAAAAGGAAAAGGAGATGAAATAGTCATAAATTAATCTACAAAATGAAACACGGAGAGAAACAGATGGAATGAACCAAGAACCATAACTACTCAGACAATATGAAACCTGGTAGGATGTAATTCAAAGATCTACAACACAAAATTCTGTACTTTATATAGCGTTGAAATGAATAGCTGAAACATCAAAACAGAGAAAAATAAAAGCAGGGAATTAGGAGGAATTTATTTCTGGATAAACAAGGGCAGAAGTGCTTCATTGAGGCAAAGAAACTCAGTAAGATCTTAGATCTACAACTGCACAACATTGAGCCTGTGAAACGTAACTTCACCGAGGAGCAAGACACTTCTTCTAAGCTAAATCTTACTCAAGAAACAAAGCTTTCATAATGACATTCAACAATAACTCTCAGTCATCAAATCAGACTCTCCAAAGATAAGGCTGAGGCCAATAGGCGAACAAGGTAGGGTTATCTACTGCATGCAAAGCAACCAATAACAAAGTGGAACTCAATCAGAGAACCTCGCCGGAGGCAAATTCTCCGGCGAGCTCGATTGAGAGATGTCGACAAGAAAACAATAGCACGAGTGCACAGATCGATCATACTAAGACTTCAAACAGAGAAAGAAGACCTAGATCGGGCGAGATCTACAACAGCCACCAAACGCAAGTTCAAATGAACTGTACACCAAAAGCACCGAGCAAAGCGCGAGACAAAAGGAAACAGAGAGGAGAAGGAGAAACCTTGTCGGAATCCATGTCGGAGCGACGCTTCAGAACGTCTCCGTCGTGAGGCTGCGGCGGTGGAGCAAGAAGCTGGGGCTGAGGCCCCAATGGCATAGAGGCCATGTGCTTTACAGCTCCTTCTACTCCCTCTCTCTCTCCCACTGAAAGAGAAATGACTATTTTTCCTCCAATCTCTCCTGTGTCTAAATTTCCCAAATCGCTAAAAGACAAAGGAAGTCTCCACGCGCTAGTGAGGAGCGTGAAATGCACCACCCAATGAGAAAGCTCGAGTTTAGTTGATTAATCAGCCATTAATGTCAATTCAGAATTCAAGACATAGACTCATTAAATCAATCGTGGAGTTTATTATTACCATTACTATTATTATGACCATACAGAGATGTTGGAAAATGTTGATAAAAATATATCCCATGAGCATATGTCACCATGTATCAAATCAAAATCATTTTGGTTATTAACCAATCCAAATGAACAAGAATCTAACATAAAAATTGAACAGTTATAACTTCTCCAAATCCGAAAAAATGTAATAATCGGAAAAAAAAACTTCTTTGGAAAAATATTTTTTTTACTAATAAAAAACTGAAATAAAATCAAACCGAAGCGACGTTGATATAAAAACAGAACCAGGCATGACAGATCCATGCTCTGGCTTGGCTTAAGAATGCTAAAACCCTTCAACACTTCATCCTCTCTACATTGGTTAAGCTTTACTAGTAACAATTTAAGAGCTAATATTAGGGTTTATTATTCCACATATGGAACCAAAACTAGACATTTACCTACAGCATTTTCCAGATCGATCACTGTATTGCAACTCTAGGGTTCTTCTTCTGCATGAAACCGCCATGTTATTGGAAGAACAACTCATGCCATCATCCTCTTAATAAGCAAAACCATGGAAAGATATGAATGCGCATAACATTACTATTCACTCATCGAAAAAGGGTTCTTCTCTATATCATATCTTGTCAGTCCAGGCATTGTCAACAAACCACAACAACATAGATAACCACCGACTACATTGATGTTGTTCTTCAGCTTCTTCGACCTAACTTGCTCCCCACGCTTTCTTTTTACCATCACTCTCCCCTAATTCTCTTCATTAGAAGCATCGACCTTGAGATCCAGATCTGGAACCGATTGATAGACAGGCAATGCCAAGCTCTCAAGCAGCTTCAGATGAATGGATTTCACATTCTTCCATTTTCTAGGCACAACATCAACTACTCCACTGATTGCCGCCACAACATTCTCAGCGATTTCCTTGTTTCCCATCGACAATTTCGCAACTTTAACGACACTGCAAGTACCTGTGCCCATGAAAAACAATGTCGACCCACAAGCCGTCTCGATCTGATCCTTCCAGTTCTTGTTCTTATCGATCGGTACTAACATCTTCTTCTTCTTCACGAACTGCTTTCCAAACAACTTGGGCAGAATCGGCATCACCCTCTTCTCGGCGAAATACATATCGTAAGAATCACAAAGCTTTCTCTTGGATTCGACTGTACGGTAATCAGACTTGAACTTTGAAATTTTTATCACGTCGCTGATGGGCAACTTCTCCGCTTCGATCTTCTTCATCGCAGCTTCCTTGGTGATATGGTTCTTGGATCTGTCGTCGATAATCAAACAAAACTCCGGCGAATCTTCGACCAGATCGATAAAAGGGTGAGGAAGAGGGATCATCTCGGGATTCGTTCGGTCCTTTTGAGGGACTTTCGTCAGGGCCACGATCAGATACATGAACCCGTCGTGCTCCATCGGTCTGGCCTTCTGGGTCATGGACTCGGAGTTCCACCATTTTCGGAGAGATTTTACAGCCCTATACACGGTATTTGGATCGACCCTCGAGGGTTTTTGCGGCGGGCGGGCCGCCGAGCAGGTCATTCTCCGGCGAGAAGGGGGGA